GGCTGCATCCACCCGTCACACTGCGTTCTGTGTGTGTGGGCCTGTTTTCTGTGCTACTGGTGCGCATTGAGGTGGAGGAAGGGGGGTTGAGGACCAGACGGACAATCTGGGGATCGAGGGGATGAGATTTCTCCACAGGGGGCGGGCATCTACTGGAGCTCCAAAGAGAAGAACAGCCTGTCCAAATGAGAGGGACGCTGAGGCCGCTGAGCCCAGGAGAGTTCAGTCACTCACACTGGAGCTTCATACGTGAGCTTCCACCTCATGCTGGATTCGCTGCTGAATGAATGTCAGCTCAGTGCGTTATAGTATGAAGGTTCACTAACCTGTGCGTGGCTCATCTCCTGCTCTGCTTATCGGTGGGTTTGTTTTAGAGACATCTGGATCGGACTATTGATAGCAGCATTAAAGGGGCACTCGCTCACCACGTTTCTCACTCAATCCTTCATCTCACAGATGTGAAAGGCTATATGACTGATAATGTTGAACTGCATTATGGGACTAAAAAATGAGTTGCTTGGTCTCTGCTGGATGGATTTAAAGTCCCACGACACTCACTCTTTATTTCAGCACCTCCTCACAGAAAAACACAGCAACTCGAACACTAGTTCACTGATGATGCTTCACCCTTATGCCTCATAGGGCTTCCAGTGTGGTGAGATGTTTACAGATTATATTATAAGAGGGATGGAGGCAGAGGGGGTAGAAACAAGGGAGCAAAACAAAGCAGCCATTTCTGTTGCACCACTGCGATGCAGAGGGGGCGAGAGATGATAACACAGGGACCAGGGAGGGAGGGAGGGAGGGAGACGTTCCTGCCTTGCTTCAGAGCTGAGGCGACTCTGCACCATGGCAGCGGGAGAAGGTAAGACTGCTAATCGGAGTCATCAGATCAAACGTGTGGGATGCAGAGGTCAGCCGTCTCCTTGGTTACTGTGCGTTTGCTTTTGTTTGATCGGGAAACAACAGTTTGCCCTCTCTTATGTAATCTGTCCTTCTCTCCTCAGTGGCTTGTGCGTATGTGGTTGTTGTTGTTTTGACGCGCTCCCAGTGCCTCGAGCATCCCACTTCTAGGTTCATGACAGTTATTGTCTATAATATAAAAACACTTGACTTGTCGACCTTTTCTGCAGTTTTCCCAAACTGAACTCCAGGTGTGATGTGTTTTATTCCATTATCACAGTCTTAGAGTCTTATGGCTGCAGCCGTCTGTATTGCTGCATTGGTTTAAGAAGAAGCCTCTTAGGATAATCTGTGCAGCTAAACCCCTTAAAGGTGCACAGATCTCAATCTGTGGATCTTAAGGACCTCAATGCGACGGCTGGCTGATGCAGAGCAGTGATGAGTATTTACTAGCGTACTTATTCCTCCTGGTGTCAGTGGTATGAACAGTGAGCTGCATAAATTATGCCGGTTCACAACCTCAATGGACTGCAGAGCACTACAGACATTCTAGATGGGAGCAGCTCAGGCTGCTGGTCAGGATGTGTGGTGCTGATCTACTGGCCCGATGAATCCCATCGGGATGGACTGAATGGGGTGTCTGTAGCTGCCGAAGGGCTCAGCACCACCCTGAAGAGTTCTCTTCATCATCAATGCACAGTGCAAACCACCAGGGGGGAGACCACCAGGGAGGGGGGGGGCGGGGGGGGGGGACGCCACGGCCTCTTTCTGCAACACGCTCAAAGAACGTCTTTGTGATCGGCTCAATCCAGCGAGGCTGCGTGTGCATTGGGTGTGTGACGTCACATGAGGGACCCGCCACGCCAAAGACAAACCCCGGCTCGTGTCGGCTGCGCCCGCTCTGCATGGATTCAGGAGGACACAAGCACCGCTGTGTGTGTGTGTGTGTGTGTGTGTGTGTGTGTGCAGCCATTATATCCTGTGTTAATACCAGTGGGGGAACCAACTACTGCATCCGCTCACACCTTCTGGTGTCGAGTAATAATGCTGATGAACTTTAACCCTTGATTCTAAATGGATAGTAAAGGCTCACGATGTTGCTATTGAAGCATTCACCATTGACCACCTCAGCTGCATCACCTGTTATCGCTGAGATGGTTGTGGAGGATGCGGAGAGGTCCGCACACATGAGGCCTTCCCCATTGTGGGACGCGTGGTTACAGGGGGCATATGTAATGTAATGTGGAGGTAGATAGAACGCTGTTCCCTTAGCAACACTTAGCCGTGGTGGTATGAAAGGTTCTGACGGTCCTCTGCTCCGTAAGAGCCTGCTGACCAAACATGGCCTCTGGTAATGAACCGGTCCTCCTCTTTTCCACAGCTGATGGTGGAGTCTGAGCGGGACAACCGGCCCGTTGTTCCCGGGGACACGATGTCTTTGTGCTCCGTCTGTCACACAGTAGATGGGAAACGTCCGATGTCTGTGGGCCTCAGAGAAGCAGCCGCTGAAGCCGCTCGCTGAGGCTGTAGGAAGGGCTGTCATGATACCAAGTTTTTGTTGTGTGATTGTTGCACCAATATTTATTGCGATATGCGATATTAAGGTTTAACACGGGGCTTCGACCGCCGGCAGGGCAGGACTGACTTGTGTCCAGTGTAGTTTACATGGGATGATTCATATGTGTCACTGGTACGGGACATTCATGTGTGATAAAGAATCCTATTTCATTTAGAATCTCGTCCAAAATGACGTGTTTGCTCTGAACAGATCCCATAAAAGAGCGTTAAATTGTGCGTTATTGAGCGCAGGTAGGAACTGTAAGCACTGTTCAGATGAGGCCACGGAACAATAACACAGTGAGACGTGGACTGATCACAGAGCAGAGAGGGCAGCGCCAAAAAAATACATGTTATTATAGAAAATAAATGCTAATTAATGCTGGTAATTAGATCATCAGCATCCACAGTGTACAGTCACATGTGCTGAGGAGCCGAGGGGCACGTTTGGTTTCATCAATGTTGTGGCCACGTCCCATTTCAGCCCCCCAGCAGCCTCTCAGGTGCCTCATTCCTTGTGATGATATCACACTGATCACCAGTCACCTGCCTCTCGTGTAACCATCCCAGGCCCCTGTGGAGGGCAAAGTCTCGGGGGTCAGAAGGGTCAGCGGAAGACAGCCTTCATGAGCCCCCCCCATCCCCCCTCCATCCCCCTCTGCCTCACCCTTTGAGTGAGGCAGTAAAGAAGGTTGTAGCTGCTGCTCTGAAGACAGACACCCCCTTATTATGTAAACCTGTCGTACCGCTGACTCCAATGCAGCTCCAGGAGCTCCGAGGACACAGGGCAGCCCGACACCTGGTGCACGTGGGAGGTAGTGCATCCTCCATGCCTCAGATCCACCTGACCGGCTAGTGTGCGTGCGTGTGTGCGTGTGTTGTGCGTATTCCCTCTACACAAGCCAAAGCGTCAACTGAGGAACCTTTTATGATTTCGAAGCGTGAGGTAAGAAGCTCAGGTCCTGATATAAACGAGTGCCAGTAAACCCAGCAGGGCTCATTCCTGCAGAATTCTGTTATCCCTCCTCACCGGGGCCGCGCAGGCGCTCGTCCTCAAGGCGGCAGGGTCAAGGAGACTTCCTGGGACCTAAGAGCTGAATTCTCTGGCTTTAACCTCAATGCCAGCGTCTGTTCCACGCGTTGAATGGGTGTGCTAGGTGCTACATCACGTCTGCAGCGATGACCTCACTCTGGGATGCTAACACAGTAGTGCGGTTGGCTGTTTGTTGCATGAGGGCGGGCACAAGAAAAGCAGTGATCTCACAACAATAGACCCCTCCCCCTTTTCCCCCAGGACATGTCCCCACAGCATCGGGCAGACGCTGACAACTGCACCCAGACAGGAGGGCGTGAGCGGCGGGTAGTCTGCCGTAGTTTGCTTAGTCAGCGACCAGAGCGCACACACACACACACACACACATCCATCATGTGGACGGACGCCTGGTGAACAAGAGAGCGCGTCCCCCGCTGCAGCAGAGACATGCTGCGGAGGCTGATATGCGAGAGAATCTGCGCTCGTGAGAACGCTGCCTTCTGATGTCCTCCTGTCCCCGCTCTGACCCTCTGGACGATTGCGTCTCTTTTGTCCTCCGCCTGTCGCCTGTGTGTCCTTGGCCGATGGTGGTGTCTGTGATGAATGCCGTGTCACATGCCGCTGCCGCTTGCCGAGCTGCTTGTGCATCTCGTGTCTCGGGGGGGGGGGGCTTCATGCATGGCAGCCAAAACAGATTAGGATGTCCGATGGATGGATAAGGGTCAGAGAGGATGCCGGTGCGTTTCATCTTGGACACCGAGCAGGAAGCAGCTCCCCCACGGAGCACCTTTAACAAAGGAAAATAGGCACGTCTGTCAAACGTTGTCCCTTTTTCTGCCTTTGTCATTGTAGATAAGAACTTTGAGGACGAGGACTCTGTGGACGGAGGCCGGTCCTCCTCCTCGACGTCCTCTAAAGCGCCCCCGAGTGGCAGGAGGCCGGTAGTGACCTCTGCTCGACGACCCAGCTCAGCCACCACGACCAAGGCCACAGGTGAGGCCGCGGCTCGGCCCAGTCCGATGCGCACAGCTGTAGCCCGTCTATCAACATTAGACATGTGTGTGTGCACACATTCCTCCGCCTACACCCTTCTGGGGACATGTCATAAAACCTTTTGGTCCCCACAGCTAAAGAAGCAGCGGCCGGAGCTGTTGATGAAGAGGATTTTATTAAAACCTTTGAAGACGTGCCCCCAGTGCAGGTACGCTGAGCTCCCAGTACTTTGGATTTCTTAGCTAGTGAGGAACCAGCACCACAGGGAAGATGATCATGATGGCCTTAAACCCTGACGCTACTTAATATTAACATGTTGTCATTAGCTCATGCTGCTGGTGGCAGTTTACAGAGCACCCACTTCCAAACATGATGATGATCACATCCCTCTGTGTCCAGATCTACTCCAACCGAGAGCTGGAGGACCAGCTGGGCAAGATCAGAGAAGTGCTGTCTGACGACAAACACGACTGGGAGCACCGCGTGGTCGCTGTGAGACACACACACACACACACACACACACACAAGGGATCAATCCCCCGATGCATGGCTGATATCCGCTGTCTCCTCTGTTCCCCTCCAGCTGAAGAAGGTGCGTTCTCTCCTGCTGGCCGGGGCGACTGAGTACGAGGGTTTCCCTCAGCAGCTGCGCCTCCTGGAGGCTCCCCTCAAGCTGTCGGCCAAAGACCTGCGCTCTCAGGTGGTCCGAGAGGCCTGCATCACTCTGGGGTGAGAGTACCACTTTAATCCTCTTTGACTAAACACCTAATGTTGTGACCAACTATGAGACACCTCAGACACCGGACTCAGACACCGGAGTGTGTCTGCTGTGTCGAGAATGCTTCTGTGCTGAAGTCCTCGGTTAGTTAGTGCGCCTGTGTGGATATACAGCATCTGTCGGTGCGTCACGTATCAGCCACAGGGTTGTGATGCTGCCAGCAAGGCACACTTGACATTTAAATCAGAGTAATTAACACAGACACAGCACCCGGTGTGATGTGCTTATTAGCATCACTGTGAGAGAGCACATATAAGGAGGTAATGCAAGTAAAACAAAGCCGCAATTAAACTAATAGTAAAACATTCATACAATAATTGTATTGGCTTAGTTCTAACTGAAAGTAGTCCCTGCTAAAGTAGAACCTCGTCGCTGGCGGATGGATGGGCCTGCCAGCGGACTCTGGATGACTTTGTGACTGATGGGGCTGCTCCAGGAAGACGCTCATGTTTTCTTTCCACACACTTAAGCTAATGAACATGAGCCCTGCCGGGGTGTGAAACGAGCAGCGCGGTCTCCACCCACAAACATCCCTCACCCACATTTTAATAGAACCTCGACGAGGTGGAACAGAGCACAGACACATGGAAAGAGCAGCCGCTTGATGAATCGATGGCAGCTACGAGGATCCGATCGTTTTTTTTTCATTTTTTGCCTTCAATCCCGTCCAAACTTTCACCAGCCGGGGGAAGAACACATGGCCGACTTGTTCTTCAGTTCAGCCACTTAATATCTTTTCCATAAAGACATCTTCAAGATGGTACACAGGCTCTTTCTCTTGGGTGTTTCTGTGTCCCTGCTCGCTTCTCTCCGTTCTGTTGGCGCTTTGTCGTTTAACGCGGCGTCCTTTCCTTCCTTCCCCCTGCCGCTGTCAGGCATCTGTCATCCATACTGGGGAACAAGTTTGACCACGGAGCGGAGAGCATCATGCCCACCCTGCTCAACCTCGTGCCCAACAGTGCCAAAGTCATGGCCACGTCCGGAGTGGCCACCATCCGCCTCATCCTCAGGGTAAGGAGGCTCATCCCGCGCGCCACATCTCCAGCGCCGTCCTACTACTTTACTCTACTCTGTGATTTTCTCCCCGCAGCGCACTCACTACCCTCGGCTCATCCCCATCATCACCAGCAACTGCGCCTCCAAATCAGTGGCAGTCAGGCGGTAATCGGACCTCAATGCTTGAATGATGTTGCAGAATCGTAGCTCAAAATATATATTAAAATGTGTAAAATAACAATGTTTGAACAAAGTTTTTTAAAAACAATTTTAGCGTTCAAACCTGAAATCAAAGCGATGTTGTAAAGCCATAACATTGCTGTGGGTTCATTGTCTTTAGTTTGTGGTTTCTGTCCTTCGCTAAATAAGGGTTTCTTCCCGTTTCCAGACGCTGCTTTGAGTTCTTAGACCTCATGCTACTCGAGTGGCACACTAATACACTGGAAAGGTAAGACACAAAAATATCCCAGACCACTGAAGCCCCTGGCAGGTGTGCACGCTGTGTGTGTGTGTGTGTGTGTGTTTATGCAGTGGAGCTGCAGTGATGTGATGCCGTTGGAGAAGACTAACATTAGTTGGCTGAGTGTCGGTTGGACGCCTCACTGATTAGTCCCATTAAATTGATGACTCCCGAGAGAGACGCCATCATCCTCCGGCGATAAGGTGGCTTTCCATCACCGTATCCATGACAACCACAGCAGAGACTTTAAAAAGCGCGCAAAGTCCCCTGTGGGTGGTCACACAGCCTGCGGAGCGCCGGAGGGCTGAGAGGGAGGAGAGAAGCAGGGCTTTGATTAGTTTGGGCTGCAGGAGACTTCACTTCCTGCTTTTATCCCGTTGGGGTCTCTTGGCTTGACCGCCTCCTCTTTGCCATGTTCCCCTACTACCCCAGACACGTGGCTGTTCTGACGGAGACCATCAAGAAAGGCATACACGATGCCGACTCCGAGGCCAGATCCATCGCCAGAAAGTAAGTGTCTCTGCAGCTCTGCGTCTCTTTAGTCTGTTGTTTGTGATGATGTGTATTCAGGGGTGAATCTCTATCGATCTCTTAAAATACAAACCATTGGAGAGCGATTAAGAATGGTTTGGACTTCCAGTTTCAAAGTCATGAGAACTCAATTATTACGCCGTCATGTTCAACTGTAACGTGTTACGTGTGGAAACTCTTTAAAAGGCTCTAGATGAGTAGATATTAAAGATGAATGATTCTGTGTTTAACTTGCTCCCAGCAATGTTACGGTTTTCTTCGTCAATAAAAAATCATTCCAATTTGAAAAGGAAGTAAATGTTGATGATAAAAATAACTATTTGAGTTTATTGACAACTCAATTCAAATGAAAATATTTCAATGCCAATGGCGTGATCTCCAGGATATTGTGTTGTGATAACACGCACCTCTTGTGCTCACCCGTAGGTGCTATTGGGGTTTCCATGGTCACTACAGCCGGGAGGCGGAGCATCTGTTCCAGGCGCTGGAGTCCACCTATCAGAAGGCCCTCCAGTCTCACCTCAAGGGCTCTGACAGCATCGTGTCTCTGCCGCAGTCCGACCGCTCGTCCTCGTCCTCCCAGGAGAGTCTGAAGTAAGGGCCCCGCTTCTGTCCTCCCCCGTCCCCGTCCCTTCATTCCATCTTTACCGTCCTGCTTTAGTCGTTCAGAGGAAACATCTCCTCCCAGCCTGCACACTCTCACGGATCAATTTCCAGTGTTCAGCTGTATAGATTCCCTTTGGAGCATGACGACCTCGTACTCAATCCAGCAGTGTCTCTGTCTGTCTCTGTGTGTTTCTAATATTTACGGGACATCTGATTACACGATCACATTCTGGGGACAAAATGTGTGTGTGTGTGTGTGTGAGGCAGTGTTCAAAAGCTTTTCTACATTTGACACAAGTCATTTTACATTGATTGCTCCCGTTCTTGTTGACTGGTTAGTGATGCTGGTTGTGTTGGAACGTGATACACATTTGGTCTAAAAGGAATCTTGTGTTTTTCAGCCGTCCGTTCTCTGTGAAGAGTGTCATTGGAGGGAGCATCACAAGGAGTAAGTATATTTAACTCTCTTTTCTCAGGAGCGACCTGTAGACTGAATAAAGTGAAGCAATAGATCAGAATCAGGAATTTGGCTCTTTGTTCTCCACATGCACACAAATAAACAAGCAAAAACAAAGACTGCATGTAACATTTACCTATTATAAATATATATCCCAAAAGTGTGTGTATATACGTATATATATATATATATATATACACACACACACACATATATGAATATAAACTACAACAAAGACAGGATGACCTTCCTGAGCTGGAGCAGGAAGTTCATCTCTGTGGAGAAACCTGAAGGTTTCCACAGCAGACACTGTTGTTGAGGATGGTGAGGGGGGCAGTATTGGGGGGGGGGTCCTCTCCTGAAGTCCACTGTCATCTCCACAGTTTTCAGCTTGTTAAGCTCCAGGTGGTTCTGACGCCCTGTGAGGACCAGCTGGTCGACCTCCCGTCTGTACGGAGACTCCTCCTCGTCCCCGATGAGTCCTCTGGGAACTTCGGGAGTTTGACAGTTGGGTCCTCGGGGTGGCTCCACCTCAGGCCTCACGCTCGATGCTGGAAGCTGTGTCCTGCCCTCACTGAGAGGGAACTGTGAGTGACTCTGTCCTCTCTGTGCGGATGCAGGTAAGCTGGTGAGCAGCAGGGCGGCGACCACGTCGGGTTCCCTCCAGCGCTCCCGCAGTGACGTCGATGTGAACGCCGCCTCCAGCGCCAAGTCCCGCGTGTCCACCGCTCCTGCCTCCTCGCCCTTCAGCTCTGCGGCCGCCCTCCCCCCCGGGTCCTACGCCTCCTTAGGTAATAAAAGCACCGGCTTGACGTCTGTCAGCAGTTTGGAACAACCTCTCTGATGCAGCGTCTGTGCAGATGTTGTCATGTATAGTAACGTAGCAGTCCTGTTCTAGAGGCCCACTCATCATCATGAAGCATTGCAGCATTGCTCCTGTGGTCACTGGCTCTTAGCAGCCTGACTGGGGTTATTAACGACTGCTGAGCTCGTCATTAGTTCCGTCAGCAGGAACCTTCTAAATCCTACGTTGACACTTTTGACAAATTGATGTAATGAGGCATTTTAAGGGACGTTTTCACAACATATTTAGCTGATGGGGGAAAAAATGGCAACTTTCCACGTTTGGCCGTTTGACGCAAACTCGACGCGACAAACACGCTGTGCTACTGCGGACGGGCGCCGCTCCAGTCTCACCGCTCTGCGCATAGACTTTGTATGTAATCCTGTGGCGTGAAAGATTCGAAGGCCCATTCCCCACCAACACAAATGGACGGTGATCCTTTGGCCAAACTCTGTTCTTCATCCACATAGCCCAATAATGGAGACTGATGATGATGATGATGATGATGATGATGATGCTCCCTCACTCACTCTTCCTGCTCCAATTGCTACTAATGTCTTCCTCTATACCTCTTCCTCCACTCGCTGCTGCACCGTCTTTTTTAAATGCACAAAAGAGGGCACTCCGGGTAAAAGTGATGGTAAGACTTGTGTCTGTGTGCGTGTGTGTCTGTGTGCGCGTGTGTGTGTGTGTGTGTGTGTGTGTGTGTGTGTGTGTGTGTGTGCAACTTGCACAGCACACCAGAAAGTGTGAAGATGAGTGTGTTTTTTGTCAGCTGTTGCGGTCTACACGTTCACATCATCTGTGCCCCCCCTCCCCCCCCCCCTCACTCTCCCCATATGGCTGTCTGCATGGATTCCTCTTCCTACTGTTCCCCTAAATACTGTGTCCATCTACGCTGTTGCTCTCGCTGGCATCAGGTCCAGCCTGTAGGATAATCGAGTCGGTGGAGCAGGTCGTGTGTGCTCACTTCACAAATGGATTCAGTGTTTTCACAGCCGTCTCCAGCTCCTGTTTTCGGTCCAACAGGTTTGACTGTTTAGAAGCACACAACCTGTTCTTAGATATTATGTGACCGGTCAGTAGTGAAGCCACAGGAAAAAAAAAAGAGTCCCTCACATTTTCTTTTCACCTGAACAGGTTTTGGCAGGGAAAAGTTACATTGCTGTTATGTCTTTCTTTTTGATAGAAATGTTCCCTAATGGAGGCTAATCCATCCATCCATCCTATAATTATTGAATTAGTCAGTGGGTTTTCAAGAGAAGCAGCAAAGGATCTCCAATGTTATTTTAAATGGACATAAATCCCTTCAGTGGTGTACTCCTGTGGATCATGTCTCTGTTGGCACAGATCATCACTTGTGAACTAATGGGTTCAGTTTGTGTCCCTCCCGTGTGTCTTCAGCGGGGCTCCAGTCTCCTTCCTTCTGTGTCCCCAGACCTCGTCCTCTCCTGCGTCTCTGTCCAGGGTCGGGTTAAACACGTCTAAGTAACTCGAGCAGACTGAACATCCCGCTGCTTCTGTGCTTGGTCCCTCCCTTGTCATCCAGGTCGCGTTCGGACCAGGAGACAGAGCTCGGGCAGCGTGGGCGGAGCCAGCCCCTCAGTGGTGGACAGCAGGGGGCGGAGCCGAGCCAAAGTGGTCTCTCAGTCCCAGCGTATGTATATGCACCACACACACGGCTCTCATAGGGGGAAGTTGAATTGTAATCGTACACATTGCGTGTGTGTGTGTGTGTGTGTGTGTGTGTGTGCGCGTACCAATGCACCGTCATCTGCCGCTATGATCTTCGTCTGCGTCGCCTTAGAGATCATACCAGATGTTTTGCTGCATCTCCTGTGTGTGTGTGTGTGTGTGTGTGTGTGTGTGTGTGATGTTTGTCATGTGCCACAGCGACCCGATAAACACTCCCACTCACTCACAAAACGGTGTGTATTTGTGGGCCTACATGCACAGTTTCATGCACGTAGGCCTCTACGCAGGCGGCGCGTTCACAGCCGCTCAGTGGGCATGCTGGGTAAACGTAGTGTCCATGTCTCATTTTGACTGTTCTCCACCCTGTCCTGCCTCTTGCTTCCATCACCCAGGATCCAGATCAGCCAATCCCATCAATGGTAAGGCCTCAGCTTCATCCAATCACAAGCGAGACGCCTCACCATGCGTTAGCACGCCGCCTCTGTTCCTTTGGCCTTTACCTTGTTCCACAGCGTACAGCTGCAGCGGCCTCCTCCGCTCACCACGCTCACGTCTCTCCTGATTGCTTTCCCACAGGAAGTGTGTGTTGTGTAGTCCTTCCGGCCTTCATGTTCACCGTTGTGTGCTCCCCCCGTGGTGACTGTAAATGTGTCCACGCGGCGCGCTAGCTGTTTCTGTATTTGCTTATTCAGGCTATTTTTTTCTGTTTGCCTCCAACTTCCCTGTTGTGAAAATAGTATTAATTCACAAATACCAAATCCACCAAATCCATGACGTTGGTTTACACTCCACACTGAGATAAAGACTTTATAAGATGTCACGTTGCTGCACCGCGTAGGTCTGTTGACACAGCTTGTGTTTAAAGATCTGACTCAGCATGCCCCTAAAGGTTGGACCACCCCCCCCCCCCTCCAGGGTCACTCCCGAAGCGCCTAACCACACGCTCCTCTCTCCTGGCAGCCGGCAGCCGCTCCAGCTCCCCGGGCAAGCTGCTCGGCCACGGCAGCTACGGCCGGATCCCTCGAGCCACGCTGTCGGCCTCCACCACGCCAGCCGAGAAGCGCACCAGGATCCCTCGCAGCCAGGGCTGCAGCCGCGAGACCAGCCCCAGCCGGCTGGGTCTCGGTAAGGACAGCGCTCCGCAGCCGAGTCCCTCTCTGGGCAGGAGTCCAGTACTGGGACCCGCTCCTTTGGTTCGCCATCAATAACACACGTGGTCCCGGTCTTCAGTCCTCCTCACAGCTCTGGTCTGATGTGTGAGTGCTGTGGGCGCTGTAGTGGTTCCCATAGAAACAACTGGGCCCAGTCGCAGAGAACATGTTTACTTGATACTGAGATGTAAACCACAGATGAATCGTTACTATTTGGTCCCGAGGGTCGAGGGTCTTCTTTAAGGAGAACGTTATGTGGGAAGTGTTGAGGTGAGCTGCAAGGACTGTCCAGGCAGTGTTTTATTACGGCCTGTGGAGGTGGAGCTCCAGGACCAGCAGAAGGCAGCTTTCTGGGTCACTTTAGCAGCGGCTACACGTCCACAGGAGGAGACTTGTCCCGCTTCCTTGGACTCTTTGAAAAGGTTGTTTCAATAAGAGGAAATCGTATGATTTGCTACAGGTTCTTCTTTGGTTTTGTTTTCATTGAGAGGACGATGCTGATCCTGACTTCTGTCTTTTTAATCTCTTAATATCTAACTTGTGTCCCATCTAACCTTTACTAGCAGTGTGCTGCTTGACCAACTCACTCGCCCAGCATCCTGCCGCTGCTTCTGTCCATGTTGGTCTTTACATATCATGTCAGCAGTCTCGGGGCCACCGGACGCCAACGGCATCACATTTATTTTACTGTGTTACATGTGATAGTCATGAGATTCCATTCCTCTCTACATTTTGGATGATTGATGATCCGGGCTGTCGCGTTGTCCCTCTGGCCCAAATGTCACCAAAAGCAACGCTCTTAAAAGTCCATGCAGGATTCCTGCTTTCATTCTTCCTTCTGTCTCCCCCCCCCCCCTCCCTGGCCGGTTACTCATGACCCCCGAATGCCCGCTGACATCCCCCCCCTAACGTGTTGTCCTGACAGCCAGCCTGTGTGGTAAAGCTCTTCTTCCTGCTGCTCTTCCCTACCGCACGCTAACCCGGAGCCCCATCCCCCGGCCCAGCATGAGTCAGGGGGGCAGTCGCGACACCAGTTGCGAAAGCAGCCGCGACACCAGCCCCGCTCGGGGCTTCGCTCCTCTGGGTGAGTACCGGCCGGTAACTCATTGTAACACCTGTTAGGCGCCGTCCCACCTCTGCCTGTCTTCCTCTTTGCTCGCGCTGGTTTTTGTGGCCTTAGCGTCTGTTTTAAGTGCGCGTGGGACCGAACGCAAAGTGTCCGTTTTCGTTTGGGGGAGACGGAAGAAGTAACTGCAGTGTGTGTTCACCGCTGATGTCACCGAGTGCAGCAGCTGCTACTGACGCTGTGCTGTTGCATCCTGGGAAGTGGTGTGCAGCTGAATTATCGAGGAACCCATTAAGCAGGAGGGGAGTTATGCCATCGCGGTGCATTTCAGTGCTGTGAGCTGCTCCGTCCCCCATGAGTGTGTCACTCGCTCCGACACGTTCCCCTTTCTACTTGACCCTTTGTCTGCTCCTTGTCTCTGGATTTCTTCTCTTCATGTGGGCAAAGTGTGGAATAAAATGTGGTTACAGGTCATTAATAATGCCCCCCCCCCCCTAATCTGTACTGTATATCCAAATGCAGTGCTCACAATGTACATTTTATCCATCAAGTAATACTTCCTCATCATCGTACTTCCTCACAGGGCTTCCTGAGAAAAGCCACAGTGCGCCACATTCCTTTCCCATATTGAATCAGTGTGTAAATACCCCCCCGTCTTACCTTAGAGGTTGCTGTTAACCTGTGTGTGTGTGTGTGTGTCACTAACCCCGTGGTCCGGATGTCGCCCGCAGCCTCCCGACGTACCTCCCGTTCAACCAGTGCTCTCTCCACAGCCGACCCCCACGGCCAGTCAGGTGACCTGCATGCTCAGATGGCCCAACCCCCCTCCCCCTTCCACCCCACCCCACCCCACCCTCGCCACGTCCTCATTTTAGAGGCACAATGCCTGCGGTAGCAGCATGCGCCTGTGGCTGCTTTAGGTGGGGCAGCGTCCGTGGTTGGATGGACGGGTCGTATCTGTTGAGCATGTAAAGGGAGCCGTTGGTTTCATCTGCTTGTCCCTTAATCACCTTTTCATTTTCGCTCTCTGCCTTTAGTGAGCTAGCATAGCCTAGCTTTACCTGTTCCTTTGCCATCATCGGAGCTCTGTGAGTTGTGAATTTCTTCCCATATGAGCTCATTGCTGTGGTGTCCTTTCTTCGGTGCGTTATTGGTGCTTTACCTCCCTCATGTTCCACGTATGCCTGTTTTATCTTTGGTCATCCTCTATTCCCTCGGGGATCTGTTCAGCTCATCCAGTCATGGCTTCTCTACTTAAACAGTAACTTTATCTCTGTGGTTAATAAGTTCTAAAAAAGAAACCGGTGGTTTCTATCCGGTAAGTTCCAGCGCCCCCCTTGACTTTAGCACAAGTCTTACCTCCTTCTTTTACCCTCTTGTTGTGTTCCCACTGCTGTGTAGATCGATACGGTTTGATCCACCAAGCAAGGATCTCGGCTTCGGTCAACGCCATGAGGGTCCTGAACACGGGCACAGAGGTGGAGGCAGCAGTTGCTGATGCTCTGGTGAGCTACGTGGAATCTTCTCCTTCTGGAAATGAATATTTGAATTATTCTGCTGTTGAGTTGCAGTATTTTTTAAACAAGCACAGCATTAATTTACTTCACACACAGTTGTAGGCGAGGATATTAAGCGATATTAAGCGAGCCTTAAGAAGGCTGCTGAAATGCTCTGAGGTGATTTTATTCACATTATATGTCATTTAGTGTAAAATAGCCATGTAAAGCTGCCATAGTGTCTTAATTGAGAATATTTGGTGAATTGTGTACTTGTTTCCCTCAGAAGGACTGCACTTGTTGTTGTTTTCCCCTCACTCATCTTTCCTACTTGGTTGTGTGTTGCTCTTTCAGCTGTTAGGAGACTCCAGGAATAAGGTAGTTGGTCTTTTCTCACACCGTCGTACATCCATGCCTCATTGTTTCTGACATTGTTCATCTCGTGCACTATATTTGTTGTCAAATGGCATTACATATATATCACTGATAACATATATATTATCAGCCTTTTTAACAGGTTGAACCATTTCACATAAAAAGACAGTTACATAATATACAAAAAAAAAACAGTATTGAAAAAGAACGTCTATTTGTTAGTTAAAACTAAGCTCACGTATGTAACGACGGTTCTGTGAATCCTGGATGACGGTAGAACAAGAGGGTTAGTTAAAACATTTTAGTCCATTTCAAATGGAAAAATAATCTCATAAACAATTATGAGTTTTTCTTTTTCATCTAAGACGACACAAGTGAAATGTTGTTGCTATTAATTGACATTTATCAAAATCCCCCTGGCCTCATGTAAACAGAAAGTCGTGTCAGTCCTTGATACAAACAACAGCAGTATGATGTAAACTGCCGTTTGAAGAGTTTGCAAAAGGAATAAATAAACGCCGCTGCCTCCATTGGGTCCAGTGTTTTTATTTTGTGGCTGATTTTATTTGCCGAAGCACCTTCTCTGCAGCCTGGTTAACACGTGGGGTCGCGTCCTCCTCCCTCCCACAGAGGAAGCCGTTGAGGCGGCGGTACGAGTCGCCCGGCATGTACTCTGACGACGACGCCAACAGCGACGCCTCCAGCGCCTGCTCAGAGCGCTCGTACGGCTCCAGGAACGGAGGCATCCCCCATTACCTGCGGCAGACGGAGGACGTGGCGGAGGTCCTCAACCACTGCGCCAGCTCCAACTGGTCCGAGCGGAAGGAGGGCCTGCTGGGCCTGCAGAATCTCTTCAAGAGCCAAAGGATACTGAGGTGGGAGCCGTCTCCAGCTCACTCTAAACGCGTGTCTTCTGCTTAGTAGTAAAGGGCGCTTCTCTCAGAGGCCAAAGTTAAGCGCCTCTGGCCGTTCAGGCGCCACCTCCTTCCGTCCCACATGACATGAACGTGCCGCGTGGATCCGCCCAGCTCAGATGATTGGCAGTGGTTTAGCCAATCAGATGGCAGTAGAAAATGTGCATTCACATGCAGAGAGGAGGGACAGTCGCAGCGACAGTATGATGTTATTTAGAATGTCTTGCAGTGAACATGTATGTACGTTAACACTGTGTGTGGTGAAGCGTCTGAACGTAGCCGGTGATGCAGACACGCATCTTGTAACCGTCTCGGTTGTCAACGAGAAGCTTTTGCATGATTGTGGCGACGCTGTCCTACTTTACTCCCCCTGGTGCTGTTTTGTTCCCTGCAGCCGAGTGGAGCTGAAGAGACTTTGTGAGATCTTCACCAGGATGTTTGCAGATCCACACAGCAAGGTAGAGACGATGACCTGTACTAATCCAAGCATGACCTGTGTGTAAAGGCATGGCATCCTAAATGCAGCAATGCTCGGTGGAGCTTTGACTTCCCTGAACCTAATGCTGTGTCTCATGTTGCATGGTCCGCCCTGCTGTGGATCTAACAACAGAGAGTAAGTGTGTGTTTCTACCCATCGAACTACTACCAGCAGTGAAACGTTTGACTGGTACTGATGCAGTTGTGTAATACGCATGTTTGGAACGGTCCTCAGGTGTTCAGCATGTTCCTGGAGACTCTGGTGGACTTTGTCACAGTACACAGGGAAGACCTGCAGGACTGGCTCTTTGTGCTGCTCACTCAGCTGCTGAAGAAGATGGGGGCCGATCTGCTGGGCTCAGTGCAGGCCAAAGTCCAGAAGGCTCTGGATATCACCAGGTCTGAAACTGAATACGATCTGACAGATCTTCTGTGTTTCTCCGTGTCTCGCTTTGTAGGAAGTAAACGAATCATTTGAAACTCTCACCACCAAATCGTATTTCTATAAAGATGAAAACTGTGATCATTTGTGGTTTGATTGGCGGATACGGGATTGAGATGTGTTTGAAGTGTGTGGCCTCATCATCATCAACAAAGTGAACTCTCTCTCTCTCTCTCTCTCTCTCTCAGGGAGTCCTTCCCTTTTGACCAACAGTTCAACATTCTGATGAGGTTCATCGTGGATCAGACTCAGACCCCCAACCTGAAGGTGCAGCCAGAGAGACTGATTGTGATCATCAGATGATGCCCCCGGATTGTTCGTGTGGTTGATATACGACATTGTGTGTCTCCAGGTGAAGGTGGCCATCCTGAAGTACATTGAGTTGCTGGCTCGGCACATGGACCCCACGGACTTTGTGAACTCCAGCGAGACGCGCCTGGCTGTATCTCGCATCATCACCTGGACCACTGAGCCCAAAAGCTCCGACGTCAGGAAGGTGGGCCGTGATTGGTTGGTCCTGTTATTCAGCACTGACAATGGAAATGCACAATAACGCTCGGCTCGGTCTTTATTCCCTTTTCTCTTAATTGATTCATGTATTGTTATTACATTAGGCATATGTTCATGTTTCTAACTTTATTCTTTTTAATCTTTATCATCACAATTTTCAACCGAGTACATGTGAGACCCACAATGCATGAAAAGACGATGCATTGCAGTCACTTTTATGATGTCAGTCATCTTCTATAGCGCTCACCCTCAGAGGGTCGGTCCCAGCGACGGGAGGAAAGATGTGGCGCCTGTTTGTCTTTCCGCTCGTGGTCCCCTTGTCTGCGCGTCAGACGTTCCCCCCGTCTGCTTGTCGTTCCACTGCTGTTCTTCCGAATACAATCCTCGCCTGGTATTCAGAGCTGGTGAATGTACCATGTGGGAGAGATCAGTTGTGTCGGCACCCAACACACATATCTGTTATCTGCTATTTTTTTGCTGTTCCATTTTCTGGAATCTAAATAGTTTTCATATTTAAAGCGTGTGGGTTTTTCTTATTTTTTACTACTTTTTTTCTACCTGTGAACAATTAAAAAAATCCTTTAAATTGGGATTTCAAAAGTAACGTTATGTGGGTGGTAAAAGGAACGTTGAAAATAATAACAGCTGGGGGAGAAGTTTTGGCGATCATGTTATTATTTTGTGGGGATAATTTTGATTGTTTGTTGTTGTAATACTCGTGCCGTCCACAAGAGGCTGAAGTGCACCTCTAACCACCTGACGGGTGCGATTGCTTTTCTCTGTGCATTTCAGACACAGGTCACAAGGTGCAAGTTGTGTCACTCAAACTCACCTGGAGAAACACAAACCTTTAGACCGTGGATCACTAAAACAGTCAACATATATTACAAAATAACCCCTGAGGAATGAAACATTTATTAGTCAGATTTCTCTTCTGTGCTTGGCTGCTAGAGCGAATAGAGCCTTTCATTAGCTGTGGGCAGGTTGTCGTGGGCTCAGTGTTGGTGGGGGTCCCGTGTCGTGCTGTAACGCCCCCTTCTGCCACTGTGCCCCAGACCCTTCATAGCTGGGTGAGCGAGGAGCTAGCAGGCAGGTCCAGCGCGGCGGCCTCACTGCCCGTCGAGGGCAACCAGGAAGAAAGGTGTAAGCAGGTAGAGCCCCCTCCAACAGCCAATCACAACAGCGCACGCAGCACGCCCCGCCCCGCCCCGCCCGGCGCCTAACCAACGCCTCCGACAGCAAAGGCTCCGGCGGGGCATCTGTCACTCACGCCTCCCGTTTACGCTGCTGCTGCGTTGGCCGTAGTGCCTTGCACAATGATCACTCGGCACCGGATAAAGCACTCTATCCGCGGCGGGAAATGCTTGTTTCTTTGTCTAAGTGGCATCTTAACTTTATTGCTCTTTGTTACCACTGTGTGACTAACACGTCTCGTTCTGTCAAACTGTGTTCCAACTGCATGTTGTTAACGTTTGATTCTTGTAGATGAGGCGTTAAAAAGGCTTATTATTTTAATCTTATATGATATCTGCAATATATATGGTACTTTTATATCGACCATTGGAGGGGAAAAAACGATTTAAGGAGCCGGTGGCAGAGGATAATATTTTAAGGGAAAAAATAATTTTCAAGATTAGTCTTAAATTTGCATGATTTTTTAATCTTTTAATTAAGTGCTTTAATGCTGCCACTTTTTCTGTGGATATTATCCCTGAGCTTTTTAATTCTTATTTTCTAACCTACACAGCCCTAACAAAGCACAAAAGAAAGGAAACATAGTGTCACATGTTTCATCCCACTTGAGTTTGCCGGCCTGATGAGCATCATCCTCCATATTTACTTGACCTGAAGCATTTCAGCAAGGGAAAAATACAGGAAGCATCTTTTAGTGTTTTCTGACACTAACCTGTAAATACAGATGTAGGAAACACAAAATAAAACCACAGGGTTGGGAAACCATCGCCATGGTCACAAAAATGAGATTGCCATCCCTCAAATATCCAAATGTGTCAGAGAGTTAAACGTTCTGCTTCCCCAGTGACCACAGCAAACTGGTATTTTCCACAGCGCCCTTTGAGTTTGAGCCTCACTCACTTGCATGTTGTAACATTACGTCTGAATAGTTTCATACCTTCTAGCTTTACACTGAATGCAGCTTTGAACTCGCACCTTTTGAAATGTTTCCTTCAACAGGCTAATGCACTTGTGAGGAGCTTCCATGGTTTCATAAATGTTTTGTACCCGTTATTAAAACAAACCGTCAAATACATCCTTCTAAACTGTTCCTTTCTAAAATCCTTTTAATGATGTTCCAGCTGAGAAATTGGCTACTGGCTAATCTACCTAACCAAAGAAAGCACGTGAACCCCGGCGCTGTGGTCCTCCACCCTAACCCGTAGTGTCCCACTGCCTGCAGGCCGCCCAGGTGGTGCTCATCTCTTTGTTCGAGCTCAACACCCCGGAGTTCACCATGCTGCTGGGAGCCCTCCCCAAAACCTTCCAGGACGGGGCCACCAAGCTGCTGCACAACCACCTCAAGAACTCCAGCAACACCAGCGGCGGCGGCGGCGGCGTGGTAAGAAGCCCAGCAAGGCGTAGTAGTGTAGTAGTAGTACTCAGTAGTAGTGGCCGGTGGACCAGTCGAGCCATCAGGCGGCAGGTTTGCCACGTTAAGATTCCCTCAGCGTTTCCTTGTCTTCCAGGGGTCTCCTGGCAACACCATTGGCCGGACGGCAACGCGCCACGCCCCCAGCAGAACCAGCCCGCTCACCTCTCCGACAAACTGTTCCCACGGAGGACTGTCTCCAAGGTAGCGAACCATCCGTCCGTCACTAACACCACCCGACCTCATCAGACTTCACCCCCGCTCTCGGTATCCGGAATCGGGGCGTTGCGACGCGCTAGTCAATCATGATTCCTGCTGCGCCGTAACGCCGTGGTGGCAACAACTAACCATGACATCCTTATGAATACTTGTTGCGTGTTCTGTTGCACAGAAGAAGATTCATGTCTCAGAGACGTGTGTGATTCTTCCCCCCCGCTGACATGCAGAGGGCAGGACTCACCCAGTGGGTGCTGCTGCCGTCCTGATCTCTCACTGGTCGAGCTTAGCGTCACTGTGTGATTGGCTCAGAGAGGTCCGAGCCAAACCTCGCCCCTCCCCCACAGATCAAACCGCCTCCCACCCTCCGGGCTGCTGACACATGATGCCGTTGCTTGGATACCATTGTTGCTGTAAAACATCTGATAAGTCGTCTCTTTGATGTCCGGCTTTATGCTTGTTAAGATAGAAACACTGGCTCTTTGTCTTTAACCTGCGAACCGGATTATGCAACCAATCTGAGAGTTAACTCTAAAAGCCCCCTCCCCCCCCACCCCCCGTTTCTTTTCTTTCAACTATGTGAAGCTGACTTTCTGCTACTTTCCAGTTCTCTCCTTTTAACACAATAACCTCTCAGCTCAGCCGAGTCTCTTTTTGTCTCTTCTCTTCCTGCACACTTGTTTCTTCCCTTTTCTCCTCCTCCCATCTCCTGTATGCCGACACCCCCCCCATTCTTCACCGGCACACCCGCCAGGCTTATTGATGGCACAGACTTCAATGCGGTGCTGATGTTTGAGGATCTATCAAAGCATCCCCCTGCCCCCCCTCCTCCTCCTCCTCACTCCACCCCTGCTGCCCCCTCCCTAAGGGTCCTCCGCAGAGCATATTCACCCAGGTAACCAGGGGCTGAACCACACAGGTGCTTATTGCCCCCCCCCCCCCCCCCCCATCCTTCTCCTTCTCTCACTCCTCGTATGCCAATGACTCACTCAATGCTTATGTTCGAATCAAATGAAAATATAATCCATTCTGGAATGTTAATGCAGTGCAACAACAACACAACAAAGGCCTATTGACACTCGGCGCGCTTTGCTTCATTATCAGATGTTCATATGAACCCTGTGTGTGTGTTTGTGTGTCCGGTAGCATGACGGAGTACGACACGGAGAACATGAACTCGGAGGAGATCTACAGCTCTCTGCGCGGCGTCACCGAGGCCATCCAGAGCTTCAGCTACCGCAGCCAGGAGGACCTGAACGAGCCGGGCCGCCAGGAGGGCAAGAGGGACGACGGCGTGAGTCCTCATGTGCTGCTCCCGGTGCATTCAACGCTAGATGTTGTTTATCTGGGGCTTCTTCCAAGTTCACTAATCTCTGAGGAGAAAACATGGCACATAAAACACAAACCAGGGTTTGAAACTCTCGCTTCAATAATTTATATTATTATTATCCTTTTCCTGTAGGCCACATGTAAGCTGTTTCCTGCCAACGAATTGGGATTTTTTGTATATTATTGGCGTTTCTGCAGATAACCGAGGGAACACGGGGGGGAATTCTCTAACTGAGACGGCTGAAGCTTCCCAATCTTTGCCCGGCGAGCAGGAATCGGGCCTGAGCGCCAATGAAGAGATCGTGAAAGCTGCAGGCGATCCCAAAGTCCAACAAATGACCCGAATCCTTCCTCTGTGCCACAGGCGGGAAGAGAGGGCGTGGCCTCCTCCCTGGGCTCCGACGCCCGCCTCGGCGTGGACGCTGTGGACGGGGGCCGCACCGCCCTGGACAACAAGACCTCGCTGCTCAACACGCCGTCGGCCCGCTCCTTCTCGGGGCCGCGGGGCAGGGAGTTCGCTCCCTACGGCCACGGAGACGCCATCTGCCCGTACGACAAGAGCGCCATGAAGGAGGCGGTGTTCGACGACGACGTGGAGCAGTTCAGAGACGGTGAGCTCATGTGCAGTGCACGTGTGCACGTATACTTGCTGTGCTTTAGGCATCCTTGTGCACTGTGCATATACAAGCAAACACACAAAATACACTGTTTATATTTGGGACCACAGAGGTGAGAAGACGAGTCGGGTCCAATCAGTGCATCCGTGAGAAAAAAGTCCTAGAAGCACGAGCCGGCAGCTGTGACCCTTCCTCCCCCCTATCATCCTGCCAACCTGCCCCCCCCCCTGCCCCCCCCCCCTACCCCTCAGTGTGGTGTTTCATGTCTGACAGAGTGATGCAGAGACCCGACACAGGCCACGCATTCGTGATTATTATGTCAGCTTTGGCTCGTCTGTTGTCGTCGTCATCACATCCTTTGCTCTGCACCTAACCCCCCCCCCCCCCCCCCCCCCCCCCCCCCCCGTGTGTCCCCCACCTCCCTGCCTCCACCCTCATCCCTCCTTCACCCTCCTCTTCTTCTCCAGGCCGACGTCAGGAAAGTGGTGAAAACAAGATGACGCTCCCCAAGGTCTTTGCTCCCGGTAAACATGACAGACTCGATGACTGATTTACTGACTGCATCTCCACTCCCCTCCAAAAGAAGCAATCAATACTCGCGGTCGCGGTGAACGTAACCAAAGCGTATTGGTGATCACCCGAGGGGGGAGAGGGGAGGGGGCAGACACGTCCACCGGGACGGCCAAGGGCTCCGGCGGATTTCGCTCATGGCTTTGGCGTCCTCTGTGACAGACTGAATGTTTGGAACTCTAAAGAAGAATAAAGCGGCCCAACGCACACAGCTCTCAGACTAGTTTATGGTTGTGCGTCGTACGCCAGAGCCCCCTGCGTGTCCCTTGCGTGCCTTTTTACCCCTTCTTGCGTGTGTCGACCAATTTTTCTAGACTAGCAGCCCGCAAGGCTGTGATTGGTCCGCTAACTCCATCCTTTCTGGAGTCTCACATTTCTGTTTTCATAGCACAATACGGCCATTTTTAAAAGGAACATTTTCGAAGAGAGAATACATCAGATTGAAGAGCTTTTAGTTGGAAGAAATACGGAAATATGACCACTTATGCAACCCGTCACTGGCGGCTTCCACGACTTCCACGCACAAACACGTCAATCTCTAGGTCGTTTTCAACAAAAACCGTTTCCCCACCTGGTGTTCTGACGCTGAATTGCTCTGCAACACGCCCCATGAATTAAAACGAGTCAATCAACGCAACTGCGCGAAAAGCCACAGTCTGCAGTTGCAGAAGTATGCCGGCGCCTTACTGAACAACGTGTCCTCCGCGGTACTTGATATCAGCTTAATCACCACGGGTCTGACAGCCACGTTCACAGTGAAATGAACAACATCACATATTAGAATTAGGGCTCAAGCCAGATCTCAGGATCTATAACTTCTACACTCACCGTATCATGTAATGTATCACTCTCATCCTGTCTTGGGTAGCGATCGGTCACGACCACTCGGACCTGGTGGCCGACCTGCTCAAGGAACTGTCCAATCACAACGAGCGATCCGAGGAGCGGAAAGGCGCCCTGGTGGAGCTGCTGAAGATCACGCGGGAGGACAGCCTGGCCGTGTGGGACGAACACTTCAAAACCATCCTGCTGCTCCTGCTGGAGACGCTGGGGGACAAAGACGTACGGTGTTTCATGGCTCTGTGCTGGTTATCATACAGTTCAACAGTGAGAGCATAATGTCTAGAATGTTAGAGAAGGTGCAGATGTTTGAGTATTTCTTCTCCTAAGTGACTGGCCATGCCCGTGTGTCCCCCAGCACACCGTCCGAGCGCTGGCCCTGCGTCTGCTGAAGGAGATCCTGAGGAACCAGCCGGCCCGCTTCAAAAACTATGCTGAGTTGACCATCATGAAGACCCTGGAGGCTCACAAAGACTCTCACAAAGAGGTACCATCAAAGGGGAAAACACACCACACCGCAGTACTTTCTCTTTGGGGCCTCTGAGCAAGCTGAAAGATGCATATCACGTGTATTTATACATCCAGCAGATACATGTGTTTGTGTCAACCTCACTAGGGCTGCAACTAACGATTATTTGGATAATCGATTAATCGCTCGATTATTTTTTCGATTAATCGATTAATTGGATTAAAAACGGCATTAAAAAGCTTTAATTTCCAACCCTTTATTCTAAACCAGAACTTCACATTGCAAAAATACTTCAGAAAGTACAGGTTGCTCATTGAACATAATAATAATTTATAAAAAAGAAAGATACCAAGCCGAATATTTACAGGATTTGTTTTAACATCAGAACTTGAAATGAAAATGAAATTTGTTGCCAACACTTTTAATAATTTTTATTGATTTCATGGATTTGTTGTTGCAGCCCTAAACCTTGCGTGTCCTCGTCTCTCCTTCAGGGATCTGTTTCAGTTCCCAGCGATTCCTGAGATAGTGAATCTAGTGGTGATAACTGTCTGTGTGTATGTATATATACCTATGTAGATATGCGCTGTGGTATTTTAGCCCACTTATTGGCCCCTTGAATCAGAACCAGAAGCATTGAGCGAGCTGACGCTGCAACGCGCTGATGAATTATGCTCTTAACATGCAGGCGGTCATGTGCTTCTTAGGTGGTGCGTGCGGCCGAGGAGGCGGCCTCCACCCTGGCCGGCTCCATCCACCCGGAGCAGTGCATCAAGGTGCTGTGTCCCATCGTGCAGACAGCCGACTACCCCATCAACCTGGCCGCCATCAAGATGCAAACCAAAGTGATTGAACGCATCGCCAAGGACTCCTTATTGCAGCTGCTGCCCGACATCATCCCCGGACTCCTGCAGGTCTGATCCTACTACATTCAATTCTAGTGAATGCTGTTGTTTTGTTGCTGAGCTTATTGTTGTTTGCTGTTAGATGCTTGTCCTAATTCACCAGGAGTGAATAACACGGGAGTCCTTTAAGGACACGCCGAGCAGAAACACCTCGTCAGCTCCAAAAGGGCTTATTTGGACAATGTTCATATTTGGACACTGGGAATCATTTGCCTTATTTGTCCCTGGAAATGTTTGCGTGTACTCTGCACTCCTCCCGCGTCCCTGCTGAGCTGCGCTCCGTTGTGTGTGTGTGTGTGTGTCTGTGTGTGTGTTGCCTGGTTTCTCTGCAGGGCTATGACAACACAGAGAGCAGCGTTCGCAAGGCCAGCGTGTTCTGTCTGGTGGCGATCTACTCTGTGATTGGCGAGGATCTCAAACCCCACCTGGCACTGCTCACGGGCAGCAAGGTAATGTTCACGCAGAATGTTATCGTCTTCTCGTGCTGGGATATCTCTAAATGTGTCCTTGGGTTATGTAAGGGTCGGGCTGGGACAGCTGCGTATCTGAAAGCAGCTCTTTTACACACTGTGTGGAAGCATCGTCACCAACGGCAGCTTCATATTCACGTTGAGTAGCTCAGGAGTATAAACCGTCACAGGCGGATCTGGATGGATATCACATGGAACGTTTGTTTGGATTGAATGATGAAGATTAAGTTGCGTCTTTCAGTCCTGGAACACTTTGAAAGGCATTGGGGGGGGGGGGGGGGGGGTTCCGCTGTAATAAGGGCTGACGTGGGACCAGCTGTGATTCTCCTGTTGTTTTGCAGATGAAGTTACTGAACCTGTACATCAAGCGAGCGCAGACCACCAACAGCAACAGCAGCAGCTCCTCGGACGTCTCCTCCCACAGCTGATGGAGGACGTCTCCGTCTCCCAGCTCCCCTACACCCCAGTTTCCCCCCCCCCCCTGTACTCCTCCCAGCTGAAGCTCCACCGCGCTTCGCTCCCGCCAGGAGGAGTTCCTGTCAGCAACCTGTTCGTCACGTAGGCAACGCCCCAAGCCCCGCCCCCCAGCCCGCTGGGATCTCTTTGAATGTAACAGTGGTTTGGGGGGAGGGAATCTACACATTGGAAGTTTTTGGATGTTGGCAATGCACCTTCTCTTCCTCCATGGTTTCCTCAACTCCCACGCCGCCTTCTGTGTGTGGAACAGGAGGCCGAGGAATACTGGAGATCAGGGCGGACCACAGTTTGGGATGACATGTCATTTGGCTGGCCCAGTGATGCTAATCGGCCCGTAGGCTGTGGGATCATTTCTGGTTTGAGGAGCATGAAAACCAAATATTGAAAGAAATGTGTTAGAACAACAGTGTTTTAGTTGATATTTTGGGTGCATTGCTCGTGATCGTGGCTCCTAGCAGCCCGGCCATCGCTTGTAGTACTCTCTTCTTTTTTTTTTTTCATGCTAATCTGTCTTTTAAATCTCCCTTTCACAAAACCCTCTCTACACCCAGCGAGTTGCCCAAACCTCTGAGCTACACATTTGACAATCCTTCAAATTTAGCGCAGAACTTTTATTTTGAGGTGCAGCTGGCGACGTCTGGTTTGGGTGGGTGCTGATGGAGTCGCCTGTATGTTGGCTCAGGACTCCAGCAGGCTTTGACCCATCTGCGTCTGTTTGCACAGGAAGTCCTTTGTATATTTCCCCTGCTTGGAGTCGGGGGACAGAGACAAGTGATGTCACAAAGACACCACCGGCCTTACTCATTGGCACACGTGTCCCAGCGGACCTTCAGACCTGGACCGTGCAACTTCAGTATTAAGTGTTTCCTTCAGTCACCCCCCCACCCCAACACACACACACGTAACCACAGCTTCTGCAATAAATCCACCAGTATAAGGTGTTTTGTACATACACATTTTGAGAAGAGGGAAGCGGCTTGCATGTGACCTGCAGCACCCGCCCACCTGCTGCTCTGACAGCCGGCACGTCGGCGTCGTCATCGGCGTCGCTGTCGTCGGACTCACTTCTGATTCAATGTGGCAGTGAAGGCGGAACTCGTATGAGCGGAAACCCTCCACCTTTATTCGTATTTATTTCAGTGTTAGGTCCAAGGTAACCAGCAGCTATAGAAGTCTCTCTTTTAGTTGCCGGTAGTTTTCCCCATCTGATCAGAGTCAGTTGTTGATATGATTTGTACCGTTATCGTTCTGCCTTTTAATGTTAATGAAAAACAAGCGCACGGCGCGCTGTTTTAGTTGAGCGGGGGCCAATTGTGGTTATTTAAGTAAACGAATGTACAGACTTATTATATGTTATGATCAGCTTTTTAAGCATTTGGTACCGAGAATGATTTTTGGCAACATGCAGCGCTGTAATAGACCCTCCTGCACTCTGTCCCGAAGCCCCCCCCCCCCCCTCTGGGAGCATTAGTCAGCCTGCTGCTGATGGCACAGCTCACTGCTGCTCTATGCATGTTCTGCAGTACCCTGTCATGTGATACCCACGCCTGTATTTATATATTTCATTTGATTCGTCCTCATGATAAACTGTACAGAAGGCTTTTTGTTGTTGCTGTTAACTTCCACCTGTGATACGTTTGCAACAATGTAAACTGCTCTAGAAATAAACCCACTTAAGAACTGATCGGAAAGTCTTCTGGTTATTGATCCCGAATTTCACACCCGCCAATCACAATCAAAGCGGCTGCGTCTGGGGCTGCGTCTGGGGGCGGGGGGGGTGAAACATTAACCTGGGAGAACGTCACATGACCTGCTCCTAATCTGTGTCCCGCTGGAGGAGCCGATGGGATCAAACTTCCCTATTATGAGTCAGCCATTGACCTGCAAGTTGAAACCTCCTCAGACCTGTTTTCACACAAGGTGGTTCCATTGACTTGCATTCAATCAGGCTCCCCGCGAGCTTTTCTCCCTTTCCAAACGCTTTGTTGCCCCGAGTGAGTTGGAAGGCCACTTTTAGGGCCCAGGCTGACCGGTCGGTCAGGTGAAAAGCTGCTCTCAGTGCAGCAGCCTGGCTGAACGCTGGCGTGGGAGGTGTGGCCGAGGTGTCTCCGCCCCTCAGAGGTCGGAGGTACGCCCGATGACATCGCCCGGCCTATATAAGGGGCAGGCGCCGAGGTCTGCCTGCAAAACCTTTTCTGCTGCCGTCTGAGGAAGCCCCCCCCCCCCACCCCACGAGACACCAGAAGACACCGCACTGGGAAATATGCTGGCCTGCCATTCCCAGCACTCTGCTAGTTACATTAGGTAAAGCACATGGAGACTTCACAGCCATGCCACTGGGGGGGGGGGGGGGGGTCTGTCAACAGCAGGTTACTGTTAGTGCAGAGAAAGAAAAATATAAGAACTGCTCACGTGACTTAATGTTCATTTTGTAAAATCTGCACATGCTGTCATTCTGCCTCATTGGAGCGCTTTTATTCCTCACATTTGAAAGTAGCTTTCAACTGTTTATTTAAACACGTATGTTTTCCAAATCCACATTTAGACCACGCGTCCAGCGTGAGGACCCCTGACTTCTCTGTGTCAAACCAGTGAACTCTACATGTGCTGGTGCACGCAGCTGGAGAAGGAGCGCCGTGTTCTTTATTAACAACAAGCAGCCTTTGCACCTTTTGTTCCTTTGACTCAACGACGAGGGCGAAGGGAGAAAGGACACATCGCTCACACTCTGCCCCCCTTCCAGAGAGGCCTTGGCGCCTTTCCTGAAGGACGAAGAAGCCCGGCTCATGGCCGAGCGCGGTGCAAAGAGGAGCGCCGTGCAGCACCTCCTGTGTGCAGCCACCTCGCCGGCCCGGAAGCAGCAGGAGGAGAGTCTCACTTACCTCAACCAAGGTAGCTATCCGTCCCGCGTCTGTCATGGGACCCCTGCAGCAGCAGCGGGGCCGGACTAATGCAACGATGTCAGAGTCTTAAATTCATTTACATTATACATTTGCCAGCAATGGTGACTGTGATGGACTCCAACTGCTACTGTTGCCTTTTAACCACTCAGATGTTAAGATGAAGGTTTGTAAATCCGAGCTAGGAGGCTCTCGCGTGGATGCAGAGGTGTAGAATTATAAGAGAAACATCTTAATGCCATGAATTCAGAGGTCTTGTACTGTAGCTGCTCACTAATCGATACATAGATGGATCTTCAGTAGATAGTTATCAACACACACATAGACGTGGTCGCATACTGCACACCTACAAAAAGCCCTTTAGTCTTTTCAAATACTGACTTCATGGGGGTAAGATGTTAAAGCCATTGATCACAACGTATTCGCATTGTCATTGATTTGATTTGTGTGTGCAAACTTTTACATTTAAACTTCTTCATTTCCTTTTGCTAAATTTGACTTTCTTCTTCTTCTTCACGTCATTCTGGAACCGTCTGATTTTTTCTGTCTCTAGTTGAACACTGACAGTTTTTATGTGCTTTAGCCTCGTTTGCCCCGTCTCTTTCTTTTTGTTGAGTCGTGACCTCTGACCTCACCGTGCTCCTCCCCAAAGCCTCAGTGGCTCGGTAACCCTTCCCACACTGACACATGTTACTTTGTCTCTCATTGGATCCTGGATTTCTTCAGGAGTCAGGAAGTGGGCAAATACTTTTTCACAGCTCTGTGTGTCCAAGTTTGACCTGCTCACCAACAGTAACTTGGTTGGAGAAAAGAAATACCATGAGCTTTCTGTAACATGAGCGGGTTAAGTTGGCATGCGTTGATTGTCTATGTTTCCAATATGCTGACAAAGCACTTATAGTGTCCCTCCTATAGTGTCCCTCTTATGGTGTCCCTCTTATAGTGTCCCTCCTATAGTGTCCCTCCTATAGTGTCCCTCTTATGGTGTCCCTCTTATAGTGTCCCTCCTATAGTGTCCCTCCTATAGTGTCCCTCTTACAGTGTCCCTCTGTGGCTGGTTAAATATTGTTTCCTTGTTTCTAGTGGCCGGCTTTGCCTCAAACGCTTTCTGAAATGATTCCGTGTCTGTCCTCACTCTTTTCTCATTGACTGATTTTCACATTTTTTAATTTTAATCAGGGTTTTTTTAATGTCTTAAAATGTAGGTCAGTCCTACGAAATCCGTATGCTTAACAGCAAACTAGTGGAGTATACAGGCAGCAAATATGTGAAGGTAGGTGTGAGGTATTTTCTTTGTCTGTTTTTTTACTCCTCCTCCATCTGTTTCCATGTATCTGCCCCCCCTTCCACTTCAGGGGTGGGGTGTCCCGCTGGGCGGAGCTTGGGACCATCCCCCAAACTTACCTTTCCTCTCTCCTACATCTCACACAAATCCCTAACAAAGCACACACGTGTTCCAGCACGCACTCTCTGTGATTCGTCCGAATGGGCCCATCTGCTCTTCTCTGCTTTACTGTTTGTGCATCTGCACACGTATATTATCTTGTGAAGTATTTCATGGAAATGAAAAGCATACAGTGTCGTCCGGGTGCATTAACTTTCTGAGAAGTGAAGAGGGACAACAGCAGCTAGGGTTGCGTGATGCCACGTCCACGTGTTACTGACTGACGTGTCGCACGGTCCACAGTGACTCCATTTATTGCAAAGGCGCTTGTCAACACACTCAAGAGAAAGCACCGGTCATTTTTATTCCACCGCATCCACTCCACGTGTCTCTGTCGTCAGGCCCTCTGCCATTGCTTGAGAAAGAAAAAGAAAGGGACAGGTGGCTTCTCTGCAAACACATGGCGGGATGCGTCCTGGGCCTTTTGGGCTCTGGGGATCGGCCGCCCTCCATAATGGATTTTTATGGGTTGTTAATTTATTGATTTATTTCATGCCCTGTCTCATGAACCGACTCCTAAGTCATGACAAAGGACTCAATGATATAAAACAACTACACATACAGTCAATTAAAATACACGCAGAGTTTAGGAGTGAGGTGATCATTTTTAGAACAGAACAAAGACGTGGACTTCTTCTTCACGGATCCTACAAAACCTCAAAAAAGTCCATTCAGAGAGAGTTTGTTATAATACCTTGTTAATTACTCGTGGTAGTGTATGAGTTACTGGCATGTTTAAACTGGTTAACTAAACGAATGGTGTCTCAGACACCTGCAGATGCTCCTTTAAGTGAGAAGGGTGCACCGAACCTACTTACCCGCGCTCAGTGAAATGTCCTCAATGTATTTACATGAATAAATGAGGGGAGTCTTCGCCACAGCTGTCCAGCTGCTCGGCCATGTGCGAGCCGTAGCTGTGCTCCGGCCTGAACTCGTCCTGTCTGTTACAGAGCATCGTGCGCGTGGTGTTTCATGACCGTCGGCTGCAGTATTTGGAGCATCAGCAGCTGGAGGGATGGAGGTGGAGCCGACCTGGAGACCGAATCCTGGATGTAGGTGAGTGTACTGTGCTAACATAGGAGCTGATATATCAAAGCGCACCCACACAACAAAGAGCAGCAGGTCAGTTGAGCAAGGCATTCGTCTGCTTACTCGGCCAATGTGGTAATTACTTGAACACGAAAGTAGGCCTGAAATACTGAGGCCTTAATCAGAGAACATCAGAGAACGTTTAGCTGTTGGAAAACACAAACCATGAACTAATAGCTAAACGCTAATTGTATAGTTGCAATTAAAAAACAAATGAGACTAAATCCCAAGGATGCTTCATCGAAGTGTTTGGCTCTTGGATGAAGCTCTGTCTGATCCCCACTCAAAAAGGCGGCAATGAAGCGTCACAAAGATCTCCGGCCTAAAGACATTATCTTCACAACTGGTCAAAGGGGGTTCACAAAAAGTTGCATCCATCTCCCGAGTTCGAAGTTGCTCACAGCAAGAAGCTGGTTGAGAAAACACATTTTGAGGGTTTTTTTCTAGCAATTGTCCACCGATTGACTCATTGCATTACATGCAGATATCCCGTTGTCAGTGGGGATACTGGAGCCCCGTTCACACCCTCTGCATCTCAACACCATTGAGTTCCTCTGGGATCCTTTCAAGAACGCCTCTGTTTTCATCCAGGTACAGATTTGGCTCAGTGAGTTTTGCTCAAACGTCTAAAGGGGGGGTCGCCAGCAAAACGCAAACATACAGTCCATCTTCTGTCATGTCTCCTCAGGTCAACTGCATCAGCACTGAGTTTACCCCCAGGAAGCACGGTGGCGAGAAAGGAGTGCCCTTTCGCATCCAGCTAGATACATTCACCACCAATGAAAAGGGAGAATACATGGAGCACGTCCATTCTTCTGACTGCCTGGTCAAAGTCTTCAAGGTATAAGACTTGACTGACTTGATCCCCTTCATGTTTTTTGTTGCACCAAGTTCTAACTCACAAAGTAGGAGACCTCTACTGGACTAGAAAGGCTATTACCGCCCTAACCCTTTCCGGCCAGGATCGCACCTTTAAAAAAGAAACACTGATCCACCTCTAGTCGGGCCGGGTCAGTGGGGTTGGGTGGACGTTATCCACCCGCCGTACCTATCCAGTCCAGAACAGGGCACGGCCTTAGTGGGTTAGAACACAGGTGACGGCACTGTAGCCCTAGTTCTATGAGCACAGGGGTAAGTGTCTGTGTCGGGCTCTGCCTGGGCTTATAGAACTAGTTTTACAATATAGTAACCTGGGCTTTGCTCTAATAAGAATTGTGCCATATATCACATCCTATGTAAGCTTTATCAATTTGACCTCTAATAAAGATTTTTTTTGGAAGCCCAAAGGAGCTGATCGCAAACTGAAGACCGACAGGGAAAAGATGGATAAAAAAGTCCCTGAAGACAGAGCCAAGTACCAACTGTCCTACGAGAACACCGTGCTAAAAGAGGTGAGGCCACATTATATAACGCAGCAAATCTGCGAGGACCTTTGTCTACTCATTTAATCATTCTAATGCTGTTATCTAATCAGACATTTCATTTCTGATAAGATTGCCCGTCACAATATAACCTTCCTGTCACTCACCAGAACATTTTAAAGCAGCACTAAATCACTGGCTGTTGATATTGTGCTTTGAGATCATCCTTTGTAAAGTGTCCTTGCTTTGGGCCTCAGTTCTGTCAATGATTGGACACGTCAGTGTCTTAGAATGACTCAGCAGTTTCTGACGGGGTGTTGATCAGTGTAGAAGCCTTTTCCTTTCGTCCCTTTACTCCCTGATCAGCTACTAGTGGTGGCTGAGCTGGATATCCTGACGCGTGCAGTTTGTAAAGATGAGGAGTAGAAGGTGATCCGGTTCGGAGCGATGACCATTTATTGCTCTTAATATGTGAAGAATTTACAAACCAAAAACATGAGGTGAAAATAACAAACGATTAAACCAAAGCGGCCTCTCATATGGTGGGAGACGGCTTGTCACGTCATGTCCCTCACGTCTCTCCACCACACGGCCAAAAGACGGTTTCCCTCTCAGGCCAAACCCACTGCGGGGTCTCCTGTCTTTTAAAGCCTTTCCTTGGGCTCCGACTTCAGCCTCCCAACCGTCCTCTAGGTGGGGTATACAGACCTGTGGCCACATTACTCTCACTCACTCACTCACTCACTCACTCACACACACACACACACACACACACACACACACACACACACACACACACACACACACACACACACACACACACACACACACACACACACACACACACACACACACACACACACACACACACACACACACACACACACACACACACACACACACACACACACACACACACACACACAACTATACACAAGAGAGAAAAAAAAAATACAGCTCAATATGTCTCCCACACTCAAGATCGTCATACATTGAGTCTCTGGAATCCAGTGCTGGAGGAATTTAAAGCAATACACATTGAAAAAATGTTGCTTTCAAATAAAAGTCTTGACAGAAATAGTACAGAGGTCAGCAAAACTAATGAAGTTAAAAAGGAAATACTTTGTAGAATGCGTAATAATCATTTAGATGAAGTTAAAACAAGCTTCACTGCGTTTCCCTCCGGACTACAAACGCTATCCAAATCACACTGGGAATTGCTGGTAAGCTCACTGGAAACAGACCGAGACGAACTGGCACAGAACGAGGGACTGACACAGACTACACACACAAGGTCAGGGAGGAGCTTATAATCACGCACAGTGAGGGGGAGGAGCCTGAAACAAGAGAACAGGTGAGTCACAGACAAACTGCAGGACTGCAGGTGTCCTATTAGATCAAACTCCTCCTCTGTCTCTCCTCGTCGAGTGTTCTCCCTGGCCCGATGCCCTGAGTCTCAGCAGCCACAGCAGCAGCGGCTCCCCGTCGCCCGTTTACCAAAACTCCCCCCCCTCCTGCGGCTTTACAGATGGGTGAGTCGGCATTCCCAGTCTCCTTCCATGGGTGATTACCAGGATAACGATACTACACCAGTACATGATGTGTTTCTGAGATCTCCCCAATCTGTCTCTCCTCCTTGGACATGTGGACCTTTCTGCAGCAACTGTTCTCCCAACCAGCCGCCGGAGCTGCTCAGCTGCTGTGATGTAAGCCAGGCAGAAGATGATGCCTCTCAGTTACCTTGGAGACCGTGGATGCTGTACTAATTTCTGGGGCCCCTCCTCTCTTTGACACGTAGCACCTTCTGCCATCGTCCACGCCACAGGACACCCAGCTGTGGCTTCACCAGTACCGCTTCTCAGCGCTCTCAAGGCTCTTCTGCAGCTTCTCCGGTATTTCAGAGGCGGTAGAAACACACTTAAACAGGGGAGGAAGTTGGGAGAAGAAGAAGTGGTCCGATGCTCTGCTGCTGTTGCAGGTGCCGATCTGTTGCGAATGAGCAGGGAGGACCTGATCCAGGTCTGCGGCCCAGCAGACGGCATCCGCCTCTTCAACACTATGAAAGGAAGGTGAGAGGCTAGAAAACACACCAACCAGTGCTCAGACCAGCAGAACTGGGTAAATTAGTTTTCTTTCTGCTTTTTTTTTTTTGTCTTTGTAAAATTGTGTTGGTGGATTTGGGGGATGTCGGCTGCTTTTGGCGCAATGGTTGTGGCGATGTACTCTCGTTATGTCACAGCTAAATGAAACTGGAATGCATAATTCAGCTAATACGAGAAGTTAATTTGTTTTTTGACTCCGCTCCCTCAAGGGTAAGTACTGTGTACACGGTACTTTTTCTTCTGTGGAATGGTATCATGTTACATGGGAAAGACGTGTACACATTTCTATCTCCTTTCAAACCTGTTTTAGCGTCATTTTCAGAGTAAAACATCTGTCCACCGTCAAAAGGAGAAATGATCTGTATTGTGGAAAATGTTACATTATCACATCTGACTTAGACTAGACTGTATGCTACACATTCTAGTACTTTTCTGTTTAATGTTCATACAAACCTTCTGCTCCTTAACGCTGCTCTGCATGCCTGCCATGATTATTATAACCGGTTAGTTATTTTAACTGTGGAGTCACGTGACTGCTGCGACATTGACAGCCCGCCCTCTGCTTCCGCTCCACAGGTGCGTTCGGCCCCGACTCACCCTCTATGTGTGCCAGCAGGCGGCCGGACGTCCGCCGCCCAACACGCCAGGTGCTGGAGGCAGCGGCGTACATGTGCTTCGTGTTTACATACGTCACATCTGCAAAACGAGTTCGGTCACCTGACTTTACCGGTGGTTACCGAGGCCTCCGTAGGAAGCTCTATTTTAGGGTTTGTAGAGTTTTTGGAGCCACGGTTTCTGAACTGGGCAGAGTGAACATTTAAGCGTTGGTCCCTTCTTGGTTGAAGACCGTGGTCTCTCTTTTTGGAGAAATGACCCACGTATTGAATCCTGGATGTCTCCGTGTTTAACTCTCAACCCCGAATACGTCCGGGTCCAATTGCTTTGACCGCCCCTTAAAGGGTGTGCCAACTTTGTGGAGGGATATCTGGAATATCATGACTGATTTTACACATTGTTCACCATTCAGGAAAATACATCTACTATCTGAATGTTAAAAATGGGATGTCATGTAGCCGTGGGATGATTTGTTATAATGGTTGACGTGTTCCCTCCTGTGCCGCTTGTCTTCCCTGTAGTCTATCACGCTGTGTACCTGGGGGAGCTCACACTGTTGGACCTCTCGGAAAAGATCGCTGTGCTTTACGGCGTCAGTCCGCAGCAAATCACTCACATCTACAGAGAGAAAGCCAGCGGGATCCACCTCTCGGTCTCTGACGAGGTCTCCTTACTCCTCCTGTCGACCACTAACCCTTCATCGCTGGGAGGCCAAGCGTGTTCCTCGTGTAGTCAAACCTGCCTGTAGGTGGTGGTTGGTCAATGATTAAACAAAAGACTCAAAGCAAAGCTGATTTTAGCCGCCGCCTTGAGACACGATAGTTTTGATCACAATCGCAGTCATGCAACTTGGAAACGGAGTTCCTACGTGATACCACAGACCCACAGTTCCTAAACGTACACAATCAATACAGTAAACATCAACACAACAACAACAACAACACATGCTGATCTAACGTCTGAGCCTTCAGAGGGTTTGCTGCATCTCACAAAGCAGGAGACCAGAACGTCATGATGTCTAACTGACCTTGTAGTGGACTCTATTGAGGTAGTATGTGTATAGTCAACAAGTGCCTGTCACATTAAGTCAGTTAGAGTTTAATTGAATAATATCTCAACACTATTTATTTCAAATTTAACTAGATGAATAATGCACACTCTCATCTTCCAATACGGGATTTGTTTTCAAGGCCTTTACCTCTGGTTTCAGCTCTATTCCTGTTAGACGGACGGGATGTTACAGGTGGTAGAAACACATTTGAGTGTCTCTGCTCTAAATAGGGAATGAAGTTGATTAATCGGTTGGCGGTTGGCGCAGCAGGAACGACCAATGTTCTGCTGCATGCGGAATAAAAAAAAAAAAATGAAAGTAGAGCACGTTGGAAGAAGCCAGAGATTAAAAGAAAACATTTTAAATCCATCTCCATCTGTTTGTTTCAGATGGTGCAGAACTTCAGGGAGGAAAGCAGCTTCCTCCTCAGCATTATGAGAGGTAACGGTTCGTTATGTCCCCCGTGTAGCTGGATTATTGGTGTCATTGAACGTTATTTTACTGCACGGCTTTCTGGTACGCAGATGTAAACGCTGACGGCTTCCATGTCGTGCTGAAATGAACAACAGGTCCTCAGAGAATCAGTGGCGTTGTACAGCTTGTATGTGTGTCCTTCTGGAGTACAATCTGTAACATGTAACAGGATCTACTGTACTGTAGCTTTTGTTTCGCTGTTGATTTTGTGCTTAAAAGTTTTCTCTTAATTTTCTTCTTTTTGTATTAAGTTACTGATTCATGCCCTTTAATCACAGGTAAACATGTGTTCATTATGTATTATATTAATGCCATTCATTAAGTATTCAGCCCCTTTTGTACCATTACAAACTGGAATTCCCATTTGATCAACACAACATGCTTTGAATGTACAAACTATCTTTATTGTGGCACAGACATTAATGAGAACAAAAAGTTGACATCTGTTGGATGGATTCACCCCCATCAGTCAATACTTGGTCGAACCCCCTTTTGCTGCAATTACGGCTGCAAGTCATTTGGGGTTTGTCTCCACCAGCTGCACATCTGGAGATGGAAATGTTTGTCCGTTCTTCTTGGGAAAAAAAGAGCTGAAGCTCAGTCAGACTGGATGGAGACCGTCTGTGAACAGACAGATTCCCAAGTGGTTTGAGATGGGAACTTTAAAAAGTTAACATGCTGTTGGGAAAACGTAAATAATGTTTCGTTACATGACAGTGAGTCTGTGCCGTTTATAAAGAGACATATTGTGTCAAATGATAGTTAACATGTTTTATTACTTGTATGTGTCAATTCTGTCTCCTACTCGCAAGTATTATTTAATAAATAGATGTTTAATGATTTCACACCTGTGTCGCGTAAGTCAAGTCAAGTCATTTTATTTTGTATAGCCCAGAATCGCAAATTACAAATTTGCCTCAGAGGGCTTTACAGTCTGTACACATACAACATCCTCTGCCCCGAAACCCACCATCGGCACAGGAAAAACTCCCCAAAAAATGAAAAAACCCTTACAAGAGGGAAAAAAGGGAAGAAACCTTAGGGAGAACGTCAGAGGAGGGATCCCACTCCCGGGATGGACAGACTACAATGGATGCCATGTGTACAGAATGAACAATGTATAATACCTATGACAGAAATGATTCAAGTATTTGTGAGTAGTAAGCCAGGCACACAGCAGGACCACTGCAGGGGCAACCACCATCACATAGAACCACCATCAGATAGAACCACCATCACATAGAACCACCATCAGATAGAACCACCATTAGATAGAACCACCATCAGATAGAACCACCATCAGATAGAACCACCATCAGATAGAACCACCATTAGATAGAACCACCATCAGATAGAACCACCATCAGATAGAACCACCATCAGATAGAACCACCATCAGATAGAACCACCATCCACAGGAGCCTGTGGGGAGGGAGAGCGCAGAGACTTAAGGAGAGGGTAATGTTGGTTTACGAGTACAGTAATATGATTAATATCTAAAATAATGATGATGATGATGATGATGATGGCAGCAGCAGGCGTCAGCATGGCCACGGTAGGTGTCAGGACCAGGGTCCAGAAGGAACCACGATCTACGGAGACCTGATAGGGGAGAAAGCACAAAAAAAAAAAAAAAAAAAAAAAGAATTGTTCAAGTCTTTTGCAGACTGCATTACATTTTCTTCAAGGATCCCTGAATGTGGCTCCATCCATCGTTCCCTCAGTAGTTTCCCTGTAGCTGCTGGGGAGAAGCCTGCAGGAGGGCGGTGGGGAAACTAACCTGGAGTCTCGTCTACATTTTGAGGGACATGTTTTTATACAGGACACAGTTTTAAACCCCCAACCTTCAGCGGACGGGAAATACAGTTTAGAGTCAGTGTGTCTGGTGTGTCCCTTAAGCAAGACTGCAACAAGACGGTAACATGGTAGAAGTTCTAGAGTCTGAGACCATACAAGCCACACGAGTCCTTTTCTTTAGACCGCAGCCTTTACCAACGTTATATTAGATATTTAGGATCGAAGTGTGACAAATACACCGATATTAATGAACCAAACGTCTCTATTCTTGAACAACTCTTCCATGACATAAACGCACATGTTGCATTCTGCCACCTAGCGGACGAGATGAGAACACGTCTACTCCGCAGCAGCTCAATACGGGCTGTGTTAAGCACTGGATTACATCACCGCGCAACGCCGTGCGCGCGCGTAACGCCGTGCACGCGCCTGCTGCGCTTTATAGTTTGTTTTACAATCAAACGGGGAACGTTCCAGTTTCCTCGTTGTCGGTTGTCTCAAACTCTCGGTTTCTTCATGTGTTCCGTTAGAGACCCGCAGCGTCTCGTGAGAAGGACAAAAGACATGATGTCCTCACTCTCTAAAAGCCGTCAATCGTGTTGGCACATGTGTCTCCTTTCGGATTTCTTAGGTTTCGTTTCCTCAAAAGTGTCCGCCCCCATTACGCAGGAACGACTCCTGCCTCCACTCGCGTTCCTCTCGGTGAAGCAGCACAGACAGATGTCTCCTGCTTCAGCCTGATGTCTCCTGCTTCACCCTGATGTCTCCTGCTTCAGCCTGATGTCTCCTGCTTCAGCCTGATGTCTCCTGCTTCAGCCAGATGTCTCCTGCTTCAGCCTGATGTCTCCTGCTTCAGCCTGATGTCTCCTGCTTCAGCCTGATGTCTCCTGCTTCAGCCTGATGTCTCCTGCTTCACCCTGATGTCTCCTGCTTCAGCCTGATGTCTCCTGCTTCAGACAGATGTCTCCTGCTTCAGACAGATGTCTCCTGCTTCAGACAGATGTCTCCTGCTTCAGCCTGATGTCTCCCGCTTCCCTGTTTGAAGACGTATGCGTTTATCAGACCAAACACCGGTACCGTGGTGGTGAGTGTCCCTTCTTTGTCTTTTGAATATGTAAAAGCAAATAATGAAGGCTAACATGGGGATGAAAGTGGTATTCGGTCAGTGTGTGTTGCACACTTGGCTCAGCTGTCTGCTTCCGGCATTGAAACCCACTGAGAATGTCGCTTCTTGTTTTCCCCTCTGGCTGTCAAACACAATGCTGTCGTTGTCATATAACATGTCTGTCTGATAGTTAAATTGTTAAACTGTTAAAGTGGACTGTATTGTGAAGACTGTTTTGTCTTCCTGGTTTGATGTTACAACCAAATATCAATGACAAAGTCAGGATTGATAAATACTTCCCTGAGTCCACAGCGAGGCCCTTCATTTTGCTTGGAACAGCTTAGTGAACATGAACTATTTGGAGACGGCCCATTTCATTTGAAAATGCTGGAGAACCAAATGACGTCCTATTACTCAACTGGCCTCAGTGGTAACAAAGAGCCCATCATGATAACGGCGCTCTACAGGAAGAGGACCATGTGATCTGGAGGAGACGGACGGCCCCGTTAACTCTCCGACGTGTTAAGACAAACCGACCGCAGAAATGTTGCTTAAACAACCAACTTCTGGTCTGGAAGTCCTAAAATGACATTGCGTAAATATGGTCGTATTTGTAAAGTTGGACCTACACAAGGACAGACAAGCCTGGTCGTAAAAGCATATTAAGGAAGGGCGTAAGATTCAAAACCTGCTCTCTTTGCTTCCCCCTTCCGGTGTAACTGAGATGCCTTCTGTCTGCTAGTGAGATTACTCGTATGAATACATATGAAACTTTTATACAAATATATGTGAAACCTTTGCATATGCATCTAAACTTTTTATATCTTTGTAATCATATGCAAGAGATTCAGTAATCCATGTATGCATGTTTTCAACTCTCTCTCTCTCTCTCATATATATATATATATATATATATGTATTCAACCTTTTCATATGTGCATGTATCTGAGTGTTTCAGATACGTATAAATGTTTCACTTGTACGTATGTAAGCATTTCATATGTGTGTGTGTGTATGACACAGCAGTATATATGTATGCGTGTGTTTCTCATATGTACGTGTACGTGTTTCAGATGAGTGTGTACAATGTTTTATATGTGCGTGTGCACAGGTTTACAGAGTATTTATGTCCTAAACTCAATTTGCCAACAAAAACAATGTGGCTAATGAAATGTCTGAGTGAGTAGTTACTTTGGAAAAGCCACAGTGAGCAGAAATGTTAACGTCAAGCCCTGGTTGTTACGGTCTGGAGGCACCAAATGTAGAGGAACTGGATCCTTTGTTCACTGTCTCTCTCTCTGCCGTGCAGACTCCGTTGGTTGAATGTCCCTCGGCCCACAGGTGCCCCTCCCCCACCTCCTTTTCCTGAGAAGGTGTAAAAGGGCCAGTCCGTCCATTGACAGTGACATTTAGGGGTGGGAATCTTTTGGCACCTCACGATTCGATACGATTCCAATTCAGAGGTCAACAATTCGATTCTAGACCGATTATCGATTCTAGACTGATTATCGATTCTAAACTGATAAAACGATTATCGATGCATCTCGATTTTCAAAATTTTGTCAAATCTGAGTTTGCTACTCAGAGGTTGCTAATCACTTCCTACTTTATTTGATAATTAAAGAGAATCAACAGATGAATTACCTTCTCTAATTTTTTATAAGAGAAAATGTTATGATCCGGCTCCAAGGCCACAACAAATACGAGAAACCACGCTACAGGGATTTGTCAGCCAACAATTTTATTTCTCCAATTTAACCGATAAGACCACCGAAACCACCATTGCGCTGGGGAACCGGAGAAAGCCAGAAGTCGCCCAAACACTCCGAAAGGGGCAGGTTTTAATGCACTCAGGACAGTGGCCAGCTGCGTCTGATCTGCCTGATGGCCTCCACTCCACCAGGAAGTTCACCCTGTAACACACACACCCACACAGACAGAGACATTACATTACATTACATTACATGTCATTTAGCAGACGCTTTTATCCAAAGCGACTTACATTACACTTTAAACCCATGGCTTTTCCACATTTTTGCCCAGGGAGCAATTAGGGGTTAGGTGTCTTGCTCAGGGACACTTCGACATGGAACATGGGGCAGCCTGGAATCGAACCACTAATCTTGTGCTTCCCAGCACACCTTCTCTAACCCCTGCGCCACGACGACCCCACGAGACACACCCACATATACCCTGGCAGTGGCCCTGGGGCCGTCACAAAAAAAATATGATTTTCTATCAACAATGCAAGAACCAATGCAGCTTGCATTTCAACACAATATGGAAGTAGCCCATGTCAAAAAAATATTAAACAGATTCATTTTTCTTTTAAATGAACAAAAAGCTGCTCTTAGTCTCAGACGGACCGGACTAATTACATTAGTGTGGAAATGGGCTTCTATAGTTGTGTGAATGCATCACTCCAGCCAATCCAAAGACGGGGTTTGTAACCAATCAGATGTAGAGACCATGGTGACTGACTCCGCCCCCTTACTGTCAAAAAGAACAACAGCGAGCGCGTAGAAAACTCCTTCGAGCGCCAGCAGAGACTAACCTTGCGAGCAACGAAGTTCACACTCCGCGAGCGAGCAAATATCTCGCGCGAGACGGATGTTTTTTTTTTTTTATTCCGATTATTAACTTTTCTGAATCGAGATCGAATCTCTAGAGAGAGAAATTGAAGAATCAATTTTTTCCCCCACCCCTAGTGACAATTGAGCGGATTGGATTATTATGAACAAATTTAAATTCAGATCCAGATCAGATCAGAATTTTAAAGTAACCTATATTGATCACTTTCAAGTTAGGTTACAAAATTATGAAATATGTCAATAACAACAACAAGAAAGAAACATGAGGACATTTCATCATTATTTTAGTATTTATAGCAGAAAATCAGCATCCCAGCACAGTGCAGCTTACGTCTTTAGGCTGTGAAAATTCTGTCATCATTCAAGGACTGCAATCGTGGCCAGCCCTATTTTTCTACATAGAGTTTTTCTTTGAGAATGGCCGTCTGTTATACAATTTAACTCTTTATTTGTATCAATAGACGGGAAAGGTGGGTGCCCAATCGTCAATTACATCTTTGTAATTTCTTTTGCAGCGTTAGTGGTCAAGATTTGTGAAAAGTGAGCCGGCTATCATGGATGATCAGGATAGATGAAGGTAAAGCTGAAATCAATGACGGTTTGTGTTTTATGTTCCGGTATGTTAGGTAGTCCTCCATTGTTGATTGCTCTATTTGAATTATTTGCCAATAGTGAATCTACGTTGGAGAAGGAGGAACCAAAGCTGTCATGGCAGATCGAGACAAAATGAAGGTAAATAACAGTTGAAACAAACACTAACTGACGAGTAAGTAATAAGTGTACTGAATCAAGTTGCAAATGAGGAACAATAACAGTCCTTTGTATTTCAGAGTCAGGAGGAGGGTCTGCCACGTGACATCAAGGATTGGAGTAAAGGTCATGTGAGACAATGGGCTCTCAAGTTGGATCAAGTTGCTGACAATGTGCCAGAGATTCTGTTCCAGCAGGATATCAATGGGCCAAGTCTTTTGCTTTTAGATACAAACGATTTACAAAACATTGGTGTGACTCTTGGACCAGCAAAACTTCTCATTCATGCCAGAAATGAGCTGGTGAAATTAATCAATGAGGAGCCAACAAGCTCAAAAGGTCTACCTCGAGGACCATGCAAGCCCTATCCATTCTGTAGGTACAATGATACATATAGGTACATGGAGAGCGACATTCTTGATATTACGGAATCAGGCGCATCAGACTTGATTGAACCCTGCCACGAGTATAAAGCTTTTAACAGTACAGCAGATGAAGCTACAATGACCAGGTTAACTGAAGAGGTTGCCCGCTTTGCAGCTGCCTGCATGAACAGCCGCACCAATGGCACCATTCATTTTGGGATAGGAGACAAGCCAGACTTCACACACGGTCAAGTTTTGGGACTGGTTGTTAGGGACAAAGAGGCTTATACAATGCAAATCCACTCTGTCAATAAATATTTTGAGCATAAACACCAAAAGGCTGCTCAAAGTTGCATCAAACCGCCAAGATTTGTTGGTGTTCTCAACAGGAATGAGACATCATCTGAAAAATGCGTTATAGAAGTGGACATAGTCCCTGACTCTACAATGTGTGAAGAAAACATCTACCACATAAACATGGACACAAAAAAGAAGAAAAAGGCTAAAGCTAAAGAAACACCATCGATCGCAATTCTTTGTCAGAGAAGGCGGTAGCAGCAGAGATCTCCTCCCCGTCACCACATTTGCTAAAGAAATGGAGGAGTACAACCAGTTTGTTGCTGGAAAGGCACAGCGAGCACAGCTCCGAAAAGAAGCTGAAGAGAAGCACCTTAATGTGATAAAACGCAGTACTCAGGGCTCTAGATTGAGTGAGATGATAACTGGTGGATCCTTATCTTTAGATAAGTCACACTTTGAGCGGTACATAATTGTAACCAACAAATCACATCAAATCCACTTTGAATCTCTAGGTTTTCTGGTTGAGCTCAACCCAATAGCTGTTTTGGACTTTGATCCAGAATCAGCTGAAGATGGGCTACAATTTCACTTTAAAAAACTGAGCACAGTGAATGACCATCTACCAGCACAGTATAAAATAACAGAAGGAGTTGAGGACATTGCAAACAAGTTGAAATTAACTCGAATCACCAGCTGGGTGTTCTGCAATGGAAGGATTCCGAAAGAGGAACCCTCAGACATTGACGAGTGGTTGATGGACAAGGGGTCCTCCATTCGAGATGTGATTTCATTCTTGTGTCGGAAAGATGTGCTTCCAAACAAGAGATTCCTGGTCATTTTCTTACTTTGGTCAACAGTGAGCGAGAAGATGGACCCTCTTGTTGAGACTTTCAGTACGTTCTACCAGGAGCTCAAAGGGACCGAGCAGATCCTTTGTATATGTGACAATGAAAATGCATTTACCTCCTGGAAGAACCTAGTTGATGCTCGGTGCAATATCAATATTGCTCGTAAATGCATTCATGAGCTCAGTTTCCCTGAAGTGAACGGCACTGTCCTTAGTCTTTTGTCAAAAAATCGCAGATCCAGCCGTTTCCTACCATGTGGTGGAGGAAGTAACGTACTTCTTGAGAAGAAAGTGGAGCGTGATCTGAATACCTTGGAGGTATTATGTGTGAACCAATGTGAAGGAGGAAACGAGGACAAAATTATGATAGAGGAGAACTTCTACAAAGGAGGACCAGTGTCATGGTGGAATTTCTACTTTTCAGAGCAGCCTGGATCCATACCGTTTATCAAACGAGACAAGTTTGACTTCATCGTGAACACAGTCATACCCGATTTGTGCTCCCTGGGAAAAGCCTGCGTGTTGTTCAACCTCATGCATCTGCCTGGATGTGGTGGGACAACTTTGGCCATGCATACTTTGTGGGCTCTCCGGGACAGATTCCGTTGTGCTGTCCTCAGAGACAGGAACGCTGACTTTGCTGAAGTTGCTGATCAAGTGGTCAAACTGTTAATGTATGTCCACGAGGAGCAATTACCCCAGGTGCCTGTTTTGCTGATGATTGATGACTTTGACGATAAAGACAAAGTATTTGACTTGCAGCAGGCCATTGACGAAGAATGTGCAAAGAAAAATATTCAGTCCAAGTCTGCACAAGTAATTCTTCTGAATTGTATGATGTCAGAGTCCTCTGAACAGACTGAACACACTGAGGAGTCCGTATTCATTGGAAACAATCTCTCTGAGAAGGAGCAGAAACTGTTTGAGGAAAAACTCGTGGCAATAGAGAAAGAACACAAGAATGCAGACACGTTCTATGGATTCATGATCATGAAGAAGAACTTTAAGCCAGAGTATGTTCAGGGTGTGGCCCGCAAAACCCTGAAGAGCTTCAACATGAATGAGAAACATGCACAGCTCTTGGCTGTTTTAGTTCTGTTGAATGTGTACTGCAAGGGATCCTCGCTCTCCATCTCTCTGTGTGAGGAATTTCTTGGTCTTCAACCAAAACCAATCTGTGGAACCATCAAAGTCGAAGACAGCTTTGGGAAATTCTCCACATTAGTTGCCTCCTGCACAGTTGAGGGTAAGGTAGTTTTCAAAGCTGTGAAAATGATCCATTCAAGTATTGCGAGGCACTGTTTGCAGGAACTAACAACAACAACATACAATGTAACCAAAGCTGAGATTATGGACCTCCTGCTGACCACAGACACGCTTTATGAGAGCACACAAGGCAAAGACAACCTTCTGAAAGACGTTCACCAAATTTTGGTGAAGAGATATTATTCTGTGGATGAATCTCAGTTTTCTCCTCTAATTCAAGACATTGTAAGTGAGAGCCCAGGACTGGAAGAGATGGTGCTACAAAACGCATCAAAACGATTTGAGAAAGATGCAGTTGTCTCCCAGTTACTAGCCAGGTACTATTACCTGAAGAAAAAGGATTTCTTTGAGGCGGAAGCTTGGGCATCGAGAGCAAGAGCACTTTCCAAAGACAGCTCATATTTTGCTGACACCTCAGCGCAGGTTGTTAAGCACGGGCTGAAGAATGCCATCGCAAACTACAAGGAAGGACCCATAAGTCCTGAAAAACTGGAGATTTTTCTCAAAATGGCTCAGTCAGCAACTGATGCCTTCAAGGAAACACAGAGCCTTGCCAAGAAAGAGTCGAGTCAGCGAGTACGCTCTTTTAATACAGCGGGGTGCCTGGGAGAAATTCAGGTTGGGGTACTTGTCATTGAAGTGCTGGCAAATACTCCTGTATTTGCCTTTGACAATGTGCGCCATGACCTAATGAGTACGGTTCTCTCTGGAGATGTGAAACTTGAGGACGTGGAGAAAAGTGATAAAAGGCACAACAAACACACACAATACTACAAAATCCTCAAACAGTTTAAGGATTTTCTCTACAGCCTGAAATATAGGATGAAGGAGAACTTTGACTTCCTTGACAACTTTTCTGTGAACTTGGGCTCCAGATCTGGAATGAAAGATAGTCGTGAGCAAGTAGCCCAAAGAGAGCTTTTCAGATGCTTCAGAAAGTATGCAGAGCTTTTCTGCAAGATGGATTCGGCAGCTCTCTTGAGAAATAAAGCCATGTCTTCCATGCTGAAACTACACGAAGAAAGACAATACTTGGAGAAGAACAAAGCTGATACCTTCTCTGGAATTCTGAATTGTCTCTCAAATGGTACACCACATGACATTATGGAGAGGATTGCCAAACTGTCACATTCGGTCTGTGCATCTGATAGGCCGACTGTGAAGGAGAGAATCAACTTAATCTACATTAATGTTGTCTTGAGTTGTATCAAACCGGCATCAAGACTAATTCTGCCCTACAAGATGCTAATTGATCTCCTTTGCCAAGTTCTGCGGGAGCAAATCCCATTAAGTGAGAACTTACCACTGCACTTCATTGCAGTTGTGCTGTTTTGGCCACAGCACCGCTCTGCAGAGGTGTTACTGTGTAACAATCTGGGGAGGCTCATCTCACAGATCAGGACCTCTTATCACATGGTGATGAAGGAAGTGTTCAACGGCAAAAGACCCATTGTCCATTTCATCCTGGGGAAGAAGCAGGGCTATGAACGACTGGTACACCTAGGGGAGATCAGAAGGTACGTCAGGGCTGGGGAAGAAGATTTCACATTAATGTGGGAAAATGGAAAAATATGGCAAGAGAAGCAGGTAAAGGAGCGCCTCTGCAGGTTAACTGGCCAAGTGAGGGACAAGAGGATTCTGGCAGATACTTGTATCCCAGGTCTGAAGTTGGAAATCACCCCAATGTTTCAAAGTCAGCTTAGTGGGCATGCCCAGGAGACCGAAGTGTCCTTCTTTATCGGTTTCTCGATGAAAGGCCCGGTTGCACTCGACATTAAGTGAACTTTGAAAGCAGCCTGTTCCAACATGCTGTATCTTTCAGCTATTAATTGTGGACTCATCGGTGTCATTACACACTTGCAATATTAATGAATGTAACACAATATTATGTTTTTTTGTGCATCCCTGGCTCTGCACATTACATTAGTTTCACTCTTTTGTAAGGGACACATTTGTTAAGTAATGCATTAAAAGCTAACATCTTAAATATTGTGTATTTGTACTGTAACCCTGTAGTGTATGTTGATTAAATGTAAATATGATTAATTTTATAAAAGGTGTATGATACACGATTCAGAGCATTGATAGCAGCAAACAACCTTTATCTATGTAAGGATACAGAGGAATAATGTCTATCTGAGCAGAGAAGTCTCAGCAATATTGCCGCCGTTTTCACTGCTAGCAACAATAGCACTGTTAGCACCGTTAGCACCATTTGCTGACACAACAGGAATGCTCTATGTTTTTTCTTTTTCTTCACATATATATTAACTACTGTTCTTTATTCATTGGATGAATGTGTACAGCAGCTTAATATTCAATGAAATACTTTTGAAAGGTATGTTTTACTTTAGTCAAATTAGGAATTTGCAATGTTTTACCTGTAGTATATTTGTGTGTTTGTTTGATATTTGATTATTGATAATTAACTTAAAAGAAAACTTTTGCAAAATGTTTTACTTACACAAAAACAACGCTTGTAATTAATTCATCTTTTTTTCAATACAATAACGAAATGTAATTTTTGGGGGTAGATTGTGTGTTTTAATTGTAAACTTGATTTTGATTGATGTATAGCAATTATTTTGCATACCATGAAAAAGAATGACATTAATTTTTGCATTACCTTTTTAATAAAGATGAACTACAACATGACCATGTATGACATTTTAAATTCTACTGCACTATGTGCTCAAGCTCTTGCTATCCAGTCAACACTCATGGTGGACTGTCGGGCATCTCTCTAAGGGATTTAGTTTACCTGCCTCAGCTACTAATGTGGTTATAGAAACACAATATAGATTCACATTACCTGTATCACACACAGGAGGGCGCCACAACGTCAGAGATGATAAAACCCACTTACAGAGTGTAATTGCCCAACATACAACTTAAACAAAACAATAGTTTCCTAGAGACCAATAACCAGCATAAAAAACTAAACATCATTTATATTCTGCCCACTGTAGTATGCAATGAAACCCTGACTTAAAAGAGAAAACCGTATTCTTATGCAACTCATTTATATACTGTATAGAGTATGACTTACGACCCAGTAGTGTGATGTCCTGAAAACCAACCTGTTGAGACCAAAGGCTGAGATGCAAAAAGCAGCTCACTGAATACCAATACATCCTAAAATGGCCTCATTTAGAGTGCATAGCGACAAGAGACAGATGGTTAAACGTGAACTTGAGGATGGAGGATGAGAATGGTGCATCCCCATGGCAGGCGATGGCGTCCCAGGGTCACCAAACAGAAGATCTCCCACCTCCCTGTTTGATGGACAGTCTGACTTTGTGTCATCTGAGGTTTGAATGCACATCAGGGCATTTCCTGTTCCTCACTCTGTTGGTTTTATGGACAGAGGCAAGGCTGTTAAAGCTCCTGCTGGGTTAATGCAGCTGCTGCGTTGCCATGTGGGTCGGGATGACTAGCGCGGTGTGGAGCCTGGTCCTGAATATGTATGCTGCTTTCTGGCCTCTGTGAGCGCAGCGTCTCCCCCCTCAGGAGACAAGCGTAGTCCGTGTCTCATTGGTGTCAGAGCGGCAGATGGCTCAACAAGTGACAAACTTCTGTACAAGGTGCTAAGTGGTCATTCGATGGGAGATAGCATATCAACAACAACAAATCATTAGCATCTGTTCATTTATCAAATGTTTTGACACATTGAGTTCCATCCAACATAGGACAGGTATTATCATAAGTATTATTAGTGGCTCATGCTGTGTCATATGCTGCGTAGTAGTACGTAGTAGTAGTTTGGGAGATTTACAAAAGCAATTCTGTGGGTCAAAAGGTCATTCCATGGATTGTGTGTCCTTCCTTCAGCATGGTGGAGTTAAAGGCCGCTTTGGATACCAAACAGGTAAAGATTCATGAGAAGACCGGGATGCAATTTCAGCGATCAAAGAAAGACGAAGGTTGACCACCTGAGGGTCCTGAATTGCTACATTCTGCAAGCACAACCTGAAACCTGCACCTCTGGTGTAGAGGGTCAACATGGTCCAAATGTGCGGAAACTAGATTTACCTGCACATCCGTGTCACAGACAGGTGAGATAATACATCTTCATTAAAGCGATCATGTTGCTGTATCATTCAGCTGTGGCTCCAAAGCATCACACATCTTAAATCATCACATATTGTGTTTAACTCACTTCTCTATGTTGCAAAATCAGAATGTTTGCCTCGCAGGGCTGTACATCCTTTGCTCGTTCACCACCTGACAGGAGAAAAAACTCCCAATAAACCCTCTTTGGGGAGAAAATTGGAAGAAACCCATAAAAGACGGCAATTAGAATCCGGCCCCAGGTCTTAATGTTACATCGTGGCAGGATGTTAATGTGTGCAGTAATTGTATGACTTACATATGTTTGATTCATATTGCAAGTATTTCATCTAACATGCTAATGTAATAACTAATATCGAATAACACACAAACTACAACCCTAGTTTTACTGACTCCCACATTGGTGTTCCTGGCTCAATAAAAACTAGCAACTTTTAGAAGCAATGGAGCCGACTGTCAGACAGTATTGAGATTGTGATTTCTGCCTCCTGGTGAAACTCAGTAGCGAGGTCTCATTGGACGAGGGCATGGACACCCCAGGGGTCCTGTGCTCTGACATGAGCTCAGAAGAACCAGCGCCGTCCTGCAAATGATCCTGGTCCGGCTGCGTCGGTGTGAATCAGACAACCGACTCTCCAGCCTTCCGTCCAAGTGCGCTCGCTGTGAGCAGGTACGAACAAAGGGCTGCGTATGCAAGGAACTTAGCTGCTGTGTTTTGCGTTGCATGCTGTTGCTCAGAGTAGGTTTTGATCACGTGGAGAGACACAGATCGCTGGAAGTCGATCTGTTAAAAGCACACAGCCGCTCATTGCACATCTCAGTCTGCCAGTCGTGTGTCTGTGTGATGAAGCAACAGGTATCGTGTCTCACTGCCTCAGCTACCATTTACTTTGCTTTGAGTCTTTCTACCTGGGTTATATAATATATATATATATATATATATATATATAACAAGAGCTGACGGTTATTAATCATGTGTAGAACGTTCTTTAAGGCTTGGGAGAAAGTTCAGTAAAAGATCATTTCACTGGCTGTAATTACAAGCGCGTCATGTATGTTGTACATCATGTGGCCTGTGAGGGTGGAAGTGATTTTGACGCACTCCTTCCTCCCTGCAGAGAGCGCATCAGAGCTGTCTAACTGATCCCAGCTCACGGCCGGTCCGACTGACGCATTTGTTGCAGGAAAATAAAAGTTCTCTCTACTCTCTCTGTCTCTCTCCCTTCCTTTGGCAGCCGGAACAAGTAAAACATCTTTCTGACCCAAAGAAAAAGCAGTTGTCTTCCTTCAATGGTGGGAATGAAAATGATCCTGATCATCTTGCAGGATTCTGCCATAAAGTGCAGCTGTCCACTCCACATTAACACATCTGTGAAATGCTAAGCCGGCTGAAAATTGGAAGAAAAATTCTCAGTCAGCTATGCCATCAGAGATTTGCAAACATTGTTCCCACTACAATAATGCGTCCCATTCATGGCACATTATTACTGGGATCGTGGCCCAAATAAACATGCCTAGGACGTGTTGGTGTGAAGTAACTTTACTGTTATATTTTTCTCATATGAATGCTTTTCCAGCTCGGTCTTAGTAATAATAAAGACATTAATAAACGAATGTCTGACAGTTTCCCATAACCCCCTGGGTAGCGGTTCTCATAGAGCCTAAAATACTTTGACCCTGTTGACCTTCCACCCAAAAGTCGACTAGCACCCAACCCAACCCCCCAACTCTGTCTGCTAGCTTTGAATTATAACCTCTGCCCACTGGCGGGAGTACAATGTGACAATTGTGATTGTATTTTAATTCTGATGGCGGAGTGAAAAAAGATAGCTTCCTCTGAGAACGGGCTAGATTTATGGGCCCTGTCCTGGCCGCCGGCCCCACATCCTCTCTGATCTGCTTTTACTCCGACGACCCCTCGACCCTCGGGGGTCATTAGAGAGGCCCTGAATGGTCCGGCTGGCCACCAGCCCACCTCACGCTGCTTGTTTTCCAATCAAATCACTATATTTAACGTGGACACGAGCCCAGGGCCAAGTCCAAACAGACATCTGTTTGAAATTGTACCTCGCAATTATTTAACACAGAAGTTCCTCCTCCGCACCCCTTCCGCTCTCCTCGCCCCCGCTTTGGTCTTTTGTTTGTTGTTTGTTTTTTTGCAGCAGAGCCTCCCCTTCTGGATCGCTAATGGACAGAAATGAGAGCGTGTGAGGGGTTTTGGAGCTGGGAGGTGTAGTGGTGGCCAGGGTCTGGCTCCTGTAAGCGCTGCCCCAGAGGCGCCCAGCTAGGAGGAGAATAGCAAAACCAGGGGAGAGCTTTTACACTCAGGGGCCCCGTGCTGCTGCCAGCTCCCAGCAACGCGACCGCTCCTCAGTGCCTCTCATGGCCTGGTGGCATCATGAATTTATCAACCAGGCAAACCTTTTCAGCAGGAAATCAATTTTCTAGTTTAACATGTCAGCTTGTTGATATTTCGCATGAAATACAAAAAACAGTCAATGCCGATGGCATTATATTTTAAGTTATTTGGTCAAAGCCAAAAGTATTGGATATTTTGTTCTCATTATGAAAAGTTAACATGTTGCCGTAGTTAAAATCGCAAAACACATTTCATTCATGGATCCTTTTTTCCCCTTGACTTGACCGAAGGATTGATTTTGATCTCATGACATTTTGAGGAAAGCATTTCCCCCCCTGGCCACCATCTCCAGCTTCAGCTATTAAAGCTGTTTGCATCTTGCCAGCCAGGAAGAAGCTTTTGAATTAAACCTGGGGCAGTTTCTTCATCAGGTGCTTCTTTACTGCACATTGGTTTCATTGTTTAAGCCTCTGTAACAAATAATAACGCAAAATACCAAAACAAAACTAACACAGCAGGGAATACATCAGGGGAGCAAACCAAGAAACCAAGACACAGACTGAGGAACGGAGGCTCAACTGGGGGGGTGCTGGTGATAGGAACCCCGAGTAATCCACCAGGGGCAGGAAAACATACAAAGGCAGGAAGTAAAGTGAACATAGGACACAAGAGGTAAGAAGTAAAGTGAACATAGGACACAAGAGGTAGGAAGTAAAGTGAACATAGGACACAAGAGGCAGGAAGTAAAGTGAACATAGGACACAAGAGGTAGGAATTATTGTGAACATAGGACACAAGAGGTAGGAAGTAAAGTGAACATAGGACACAAGAGGTAGGAAGTAAAGTGAACATAGGACACAAGAGGCAGGAAGTAAAGTGAACATAGGACACGAGGCGATAGGTGGGGAAAACGAAATAGATAAAGACAGAGAATCTTTAAACATATGTATTTATTTATTATAATTCTGTTATTTCTGCCTGATACAATTAAATTGTATTTATTTTATTTTTACAGCCCCAAATCACAAATTTGCCTCAGGGGGCTTTACAGTCTGTACACATTTGACGTCCCCTGTCCCGAAACCCTCACATATACGCAGGAAATATCCTATATTATAGTCACTTTTGCAGGTGAGATCAACAGCTAACATTAGCTGCACAAAGATGTCCAGTTTACTGGTCAATACTACTGAGACTACTGTGATACTTGATACTATAAAGTAGA